TAGTTTGAATTATATATAATATTATATTTTTTAATTACATAACTAAAGAAACCTGAATCTCTGGATTATTTGGTTATAATATATATTTGCAGGTTTTGGTTGTAAGACAAAATAAACCTTTTTTTTTTTAAAAAGAGCAAATTTACGTCGCGTATACCAATATGCGACGTAAATTTACGCCGTGTATAACAATACGTGACGTAAATTTACTCCAAATTTTTTAATTGTTGATACTTTTTACGTCTGTTTAGTGTAAATACAACGTAAATTAACGTCGGGTCTCGATAACTGACGTGAATTTACGTCAGGCTAAGGGTCCGACGTAAATTTACGTCTCCCGTTTTAACGTCAATCTTAAATGCGACGTAAAAAACCCAAAATACTTGACGTAAAAAGCCTTTTTTGCACTAGTGGATACTTCTTTACCTTTTGAGTTGTTCTACGGATCGGTCGTTCAAGACCTTTGTTCTCTACCCGGACTCGATGAAAAAAATGGGATCACATCTTATCGACGAACAAGAATCCGTCGGTAATATTTTTATTATTTATTATTTAATTCATTTATTTTATAACCTATTTTTTAGATATCCATACCCCTTTACATTTTTAATATTTATTATTTCCATCGATAATATTTTTATTATTTATTATTTTTTCACTTATTTTATAGCCTATTTTTTAGATATCTAGACCCCTTTACATTTTTAATATTTATTATTATTTATTTCCCCTCATTATATTTTCATAGCTTTGAATTATTATTATTCGAACCCAATACCTTAGAGTTGGAGATCGATACTCTAACCACTAAGCTACTTAGAATTTTTCGATAATAATTTACAAATAAATTATATTTATATATTTATATAACCGATGGAAATATTTGGTGGTAAATAATTATTAATTTATCGATAAATTTACCGACAGATATATCCATCATTAATTAATTGTTAATTTATCGACGGATTTACCGACAAATATATCCGTCGGTAACTAATTATTATTTTATCGCCAGATATATCCATCGGTAAAACCAAATTCTATATTCATCGATAATTTTCGTCGGTAATGACTCATTTTTCGACGACCACAAATTCGTCGGTAAAAATCCGTCGAAAATATACAATTGGTTGAACTTAAAGACCTTGTTGAGACCGTTGGATGCAAACTTGTCTAATGAGTTTGAAACCATTTTTGACCGACATCACTCTTTTGTCTTTCTGTAATTTAGAAAATAATAAATTTTAAAAGTTAATCAATAAAAGTAGGTCATTTTCCAAAATGCAATTAGAAATAGGAGTGGTTTAGTTAAAAGAATAACATACAAATTTACAGAGGAAGTTATCAAGATAAAAATACAACACAAAATTGTGCACACACGAATTTCATTATATTTTTTTTCATATATATGTATTGATCTAATTTATCTGGTTTTATGGAAAATAGAGCCAAGTTATTTTTCAAATTTTCAAATTTATAAGCTGTTTTTATTTTTTTAAATGTATACTGCTCAAAATAATTGCTCATCTTAATTTTATTAAGTTTCTAAAAATATTATCAAAACAATTATTTTAATAACTTGGAAATATTTATTTTTATTTCCTCCTTTACCGTGCTCTGTTCAAATATTCATTGGACAATTTTTTAAAACGCTAATTGTGTTTATAGGACAAACGTTTTCAAATATACTGAGAAGAAGAACAAATTTTTATAAACAAAATACTAAACTAGAAAACAACAGAAAAATTATCTATTTTTATTTCCTTCTAACTGTTTAAGATTGGAAAGATACAGAAAATAGTTTAATTGTATATTGTAAAATTAAATAATTCAAATTTTATTACCTCCCATCTTAGCACGGTTTTTAGTTTATTTAATAAAATTCTAAAAATAAAATTTAATAAAAATCAATTAAAAATAAAATAATATTAATTATTACTAAAAGTAAAAGAAAAAAAATTAATTATGTTTGCCACAAAATTAATTAAAAAGATTAAAAAAAATCAAATTAAGACTTTTAAAGCCGGAAAATTCCCTGTGCCTGCTCAACTCAGATTTAATAGAAATTAAGGATTACATCACATTAGTTTATTAATTTAAGAAACATACATTCCTTAATCTCACATGTGACCACGTAAATCCGCACCTTCTTCAACTACAGAGGTCACCACCAAGCCCTCGTTCTTCTTGTTGGTCACGGAGCATTTGGCGCGAACCTGTCCTTGTTTCCCGTCAACACATCCAACACAACTTCACCACCGCTATCGAAGAACAGTCTCTGATCGGAAGCAAAGGAGCTCACTATCCCCTTCGTTCTGGAGTAGCTAAACAGGTCCTGGTCCGAGGTGAAGAGGCCCCGACGGTTCGCCAGGTTCACGTAGTACTTGTTGTCGAAAACATTCGGACCGCCGTGGGACTGTGCAGTTCCACACTGGTTGCTCAGGTTCTTGGCCAAGGACGGGTCAATTGGTGGGTCCGTCTAATTGATTCGGTTGAAGAATGTAGAGCAGTGGGCCCGCCCAAATGTGTGGGCTCCGGAGAACGCCACAACGTCGGTGGCATCGAAGTTTCTGGCGGTGAATGTGTCGAGGAGCTGGCCGGTTCTGAACGACGTGGTGGAAGGTTTCTTGTGCCGTTTATGCTGAAGGTTAGGCCGTCCTTTCTTCCCAGTGGCATGTTGGCTATTTGCACGGGAAGAGATTTTCATAAATGTGGAATCCACTCTTAACCTAAAATCTTAATATAATAACTAATACGTCTTTTTTATTTATAATACTTAATTTTTAAATTTTTATTGTGACTTTAGTTTTTTAACCCAAAATTTAGAAATCTTTCTTAATTATAAATTATTTAACTTTTTTTATTTTAACTCCACTTCAAACTCATACTTAAGTCACTGCAAATTTTGGACCCGCTTACTAAACCAAAGTGAAAAAACACCAATCATGAGAACAACTAATTATCCTTGTACATATCAAGATTAATTCTTTGATTAAATAGTCAAGATTCTTGCTAGAATATACCCTACTTGCTTTTTATTTGATACTCATGACTTTAGGGACATGGTCTCTTGAAAATATGGAGAGTAATAATTAATTAGATAACTTTTTCAGATTAAAGTTATGTGGTTCTTTGTCCCAAATAAAAGAAAAAGAAAAGTGCTGTCATAGCACTACTAGTAGAGAATAATTAAGCCACTTTTTTTAGTTCAAAGTGATGGATCATTTAAAAGATGACTTTCAGGTATATATAGTAGTGAATTTTCTGACTTTTTTTCATAAATAATACTGTTTTCAAAAATATTTACCAAAATAGCACCTCTGCAACTTTATTTACACATCTTATTATTTCGCGCAACCGTATACTGTTTACATATTAAAATAATATTATTTCGCGTACTGAACTCTCGCTCAAGCGAAGAAAACCTTCGCTTGAGCGAGTAAATCTGTAACAAAGGGTAATCTGGGGTAAATTATCGCTCAAGCGAAGAAACCCTCGCTTGAGCGAAAAGTATGATCGATTATTATCCAATTATAGTCGATCACTTTGACATATATGACTTTAGATAGCGGTTATTTGGCCAACCGATATCTAAACTACTACATTAGAAAGCGGTTAAAGTCTAACCGCTATCTAATATATATTTATAAAAGTGGTTGTTATCAACCACTATCTAAGGTGACTCAAGCGAAAAACGCATCGCTTGAGCGAGAACAGCTTTGGAGCTGGCGCATGGAAGGCCTCCTCTCTCTCACCTTCCACCTTCCAAGTCCATGATGCTCAAGATCACCAAGCGATTTCGTTTCTCCGATTTTGATAAGTATAGAAAGGGGAATGGAAAGAAGTTCTCCAAGGCGTTCAAGGACATGGTGGCTTCTTGTCTAGACCAAGATCCTTCCAAAAGACCCACAGCTGATAAGTTGCTGAAACACCCCTTCTTTAAAAATTGTAAGGGAACTGATTTTCTGGTGAGGAACGTTCTCCAAGGGTTGCCCAGTGTGGAGAAAAGGTATAAGGATAACAAGGTTAATGAGCATGCAGATGAGGGGGAGCATGATGATGATGATGATGAAGAAGACCCTGCCATGCTGGTGAAGGAGAGAAGGATCAGCGGGTGGAACTTCAACCAAGACGGGTTGGAGCTTGATCCTGTGTTCCCAAACGATGATGTGGTGGCAAAAGAGGTTGCGTTTGGAAGGGAAGCGGGTACCCAACAAATGGGGGAACATGTTTATGTTGGTGGTGGTGCAGCAGCAGCAAGCATAGCGGGTGGTGGTGGCGTGAAGAAGGAAAAGATGCAGCAGATTAATTAATGCAGCAGATTTGAAAATTCTCTTTAAAAACAGTTTTGCTTGAAACTTTTAAACATAGATTGAACATCAGATTTTACACATCAAAAGCAATCAATTCAAGCAACTGTTAGCATTCTTTTCCAAGAAAGATTCGCAACTGTTTTGTGAACTTGTTTTGAAATCTTTCTTGAGGCTTATTGCATTCTTTGAAGGGCACATCAGATAGCACATATTTATTGATTCGAATATCTCATTCTACTAGATATTATATCTGTCACCAATTTGTATCTATTATTGGTAGACTGCAATTTATTCTTAGATCTCAATGGGCATAGTATGTTGTTTAGCCTTTGATTACCTTTACAGGTAGTCTCAGGCGGAGAATTGGACAAGACATTCTCTTTTTCTTCCCAACTTGTCAAGTTTGCATTCTATACTCAATTGTATTAATGCATGGAACTGCTAAATGGTTGTATTATTTTATCACTTTCAAAAGCCTGCATTGGTTTTTATGTAGAAATAATAATGTGTTGTATTAATGCATGGAACTGCTAAAGGGTTGTATTACTGTTCACGTAATAAAATAATATTATTTCTACATAAAATAATGCATTAATACAACACATTTAGCAAGTTTGCATTCTATACTCAATTGTATTAATGCATGGAACTCGCTAAATGCTTGCCGCCGCTGCACCACCACCTTCTTCACGCCAACATCTTTTCCTTCTTCACGCCACCACCACCCGCTATGCTTGCTGCCGTCGCACCACCACCAACATAAACATGTTCCCCCATTTGTTGGGTACCCGCTTCCCTTCCAAACGCAACCTCTTTTGCCACCGCATCATCGTTTGGGAACACAGGATCAAGCTCCAACCCGTCTTGGTTGAAGTTCCACCCGCCGATCCTTCTCTCCTTCACCAAGCATGGCAGTGGTCTTCTTCATCATCATCATCATCATGCTCCCCCTCATCTCGCATGCTCATTAACCTTGTTATCCTTATACCTTTTCTCCACACTCGGGCAACCCTTGGAGAACGTTCCTCACCGGAAAATCGGCTCCTTACGCTTTTAAAGAAGGGGTGTTTCAAAGAACTTATCACTGTGGGTCTTTTGGAAGGATCTTGGTCTAGACAAGAAGCCACCATGTCCTTGAACGCCTTGGAGAACTTCTTTCCATTCCCCTTTCTATACTTATCAAAATCGGAGAAACGAAATCGCTTGGTGATCTTGAGCATCATGGACTTGGAAGGTGGAAGGTGAGAGAGAGGAGGCCTTCCATGCGCCAGCTCCAAAGCTGTTCTCGCTCAAGCGATGCGTTTTTCGCTTCAGTCACCTTAGATAGTGGTTGATAACAACCGCTTTTATAAATATATATTAGATAGCGGTTAGGCTTTAACCGCTTTCTAATGTAGTAGTTTAGATAGCGGTTGACCAAATAACCGCTATCTAAAGTCATATATGTCAAAGTGATCGACTATAATTGGATAATAATCGATCATACTTTTCGCTCAAGCGAGGGTTTCTTCGCTTGAGCGATAATTTACCCCAGATTACCCTTTGTTACAGATTTCCTCGCTCAAGCGAAGGTTTTCTTCGCTTGAGCGAGAGTTCAGTACGCGAAATAATATTATTTTAATACGTGAACAGTAAACGGTTGCGCAAAATAATATTATTTTATTACGTGAACAGTAAACAGTGCGTGTAAATAAAGTTGCAGAGGTGTTATTTTGGTAAATATTTTTGAAAACAGTATTATTTATGAAAAAAAGTCGAATTTTCTTGCTGAATTTACTTTTGAGACAAAAAGAAATAAATCACAAAGTATGCCACAAAAATTATGGTACATGTGAGTATATTCATTAAAAAAAATTATGTTTATAATGGTTAAAATTATAGATTTTAAAAATTAAAAATGACTATACGTAAATTTTTTAAATAGTAATATTTATGTTAATAAAAAAACAAAAAATTTAATCCTTAAAAATTGTCATAAAATATATTTTTATTTTTATTTTAATTTATTATATAGTTTGAAATTGTTATTTTTATTTTATGATTACTTTTATATTTTAACAATTAAAAATCACTACAAAATATATAATATTTTATAATTTTTTTTATGATTTTTTTTATATTTTAACAATTAAAAACTTCTATAAAATATATAATTTTTTATAATTTTTTAAAACTTATTAGAGTTTTAAAAAATTATTAAAAATTATTTAATTACTATTTTTTAATAATTGTATTAATAAATTATAATTATAATTATAATTTACAAATTATTTTTTTAAATAACTTTATAATTAATAATTAAAATATTTATTTTATTCAGAATTATATTAAAATATTATAATTAGTATAATAATAATAAGTTTATCATTATAATAAAATCAATAATATATCAATAATTTAAACTATTTATACTAAAACAACATTATATAATATAATTTTTAATGATATATAAAATATTAGTTTAATTGTTAGTTGTTAAATTTATAGTTTTTAGATATACTTTACTTTGTCAAAATGTTTAATTAAATATAATTAAATTTCATCTTAAAATTTTTATAAAATTCATCCTATTATTTATTAATAGAATGTATTTAATAATAAGATGTCAATGAATCTATAAATTTCACAATATATAATTGTTAAACTTAATATATTATATCAATGAATATCCTGATATTAATAAATAAAAATCTTATCATCTTAATATAATTAAAAATATATATATATATATATATATATATATATAATATTAAATTTCATACAAATAACTAACAATATAATCACACTAAACAAATGCATCACCAGCACCAGTTGTGTCAATAGCCTTAACTTTGACACCTTCGACCCTGCTCCTAAATTCCTGCACAGAAAGTACGCAATCACTATTAGCCTAACAGTAAAATTCTCAGGAGACAAAAAGATAAGCATGTGAAAAAATCAATATTGAAGAAAACCGTTATCAGATTTACAAGTAGCTAGTAGTAGTCAAGTACACTACAACCTGATATCCAATGGCCTCGATCCTGCTTGCAGCGAACAGCAGAGGGGGTCGTGAAGCGGATGCGGAGGGGTACGTAGAGGGGATGCAGAGGAAGACGCGGAGGAGAAGCGAAAGAGAGAACTGAGAGCAAAAAATTGAGATAGAGGAAGAAAGGAGATGATAAAAGAAAATGAAGAAAGGAGAGACGGGGAAGAAGAAAGAAGATGGGCAAAATAGCCGTGACTCCTTGATACTTCTGAACCATCTCTCTCACATCACATCCATACATACACACTTACTATAAAAAATGAAAAATAAGGATGCATTCTCGTTAAAATTGTAGCGGTTTATAAAAAATTTAAAATTTTATTATAATTATATAAATTGTTTGTAGCGGTTTATTAAAAATGTTAAAATAAATCTTTATAAATGAGTTAATTATTCTACGAGAAAAACAGCTTCTCATGATCGAAGGTCTTCAATGGTCTGCAGCGCCTCTGGCCTTATCCCGACGCATCTTCTTGGGACTGAAGGAGTAACGGCATAAGTTTTGTAATTTTTCCGTAATTTATGATTTTAAATTTTAAATTTAATGATTATTTAATATATGTATTTATATATTTATAATTTTATTTTTTAGTTTTTTTTTTAATTTAATAATTATTTAATATATTTATTTATATATTTACAATTTTATACTTTTATTTTTTATTTTTATATATTTATATATTTATTTATTATTTATTATTAATATATTATCTACCCAAAATTAATGATGAACATCAACCAGCACCCATGTTTGCTGGTTGGTCCTTTTCATTTGGATTTCCATCCAACAATATCGACCCATCGCAACCCTTTTTCAACATCATCAAAATTACGTATGTATATAAACACCATTTATAGTGCTCTTCCTCTATTCTAACATTATTTAAGCAACGGTTATACTATTCATATTCTTCTGATGAACTGCTAAATCTCTGAATCTATATACTGTATGAAAAAATAAGTGTTTTTTAACTCCACTCGTACAAGTTTGTGTGTTAACCTAATAATATCTAGGGTTTTTTTGAAAAGTAATATTTTTTTATAAATATATTATTTATTAAAAAATTAATTTTGGTTTAATTATTAATTTAATAGAAAATAAAAATATTTAAAAATATAAATAAATTTATTTTACTATATTTATATTACAATATTATATTATTGATTATTTATACATTATTCTGATCTTAATATATGTCCAGACATAGAAAGTAACCTATAACTAATTAGTTTCGAAACGAAAGGAATAGAAATTAAAAAAAAAAAAAAATTTATTGAAATAAATGATATCTAATATAATGTTTTAATAGGACTGGAACCTTTGTGGTCCCCTCCACATTTTCCCTATAAATCTCTTTCTCACCAAATCAGAGATTGGTACGTATATGCCTCCCACGTTGTTTCATACATGTGAATTCTCATCATTCATTTCAGAAATATCAAATAAAAAAGTAACAAGCATAATAGAGATGACTAGACAGTAGCAAAATATCTATGAATAGTGACGAATTTTGTACACTGAATTCTTAATTTTCTACTTATTTAGGAAAGGTTCTTTATGCATAGGAGACTATGAAATCACATGTCTACATATTCTGATGATAAAAGTGCACACCTATATATTTAATAGTCTGATGACAAAAATGTGTAATCAAATTTAATAGTTTGAAACATGCTCATTATGCATAACCACTACTGCAGTTATATTAATTCTCAAAGTATTTCTTGAATTTGCATTTTTTAATTTTCTTTTAAGGGAGTAAATAGGTATAAGTGTGATATGAATCACATGAGGTAATTTAGGATCTTTAGGGTTATAACCTTATAAGAAATTTAAGAATTAGAAAGAAGGTGGAAGGAAAGAATCACTTTTCTTAAGAGAAGCAACACACAAAGGATGTGACAGTCCTTTGATACAGCTAAGGATTCTTGAATCACTCAAGAATTTAGGAGAATCACTCTCACTAAGATAAAAGAGATAAACTCTAATATTTCTGAAAAAAATTCCACTTGTTATTTCTTGATAAAAATGATTCAGTTGATATAGAAACATTATCATCAGAATTACAAAAGACTCAATAAAAGAAAATAAATACTAATAATAACTCATTAATCTAGGAATTGAAAACTATTTAATGGAAACAAATAAAAGCTAATGATCCATTAACCTAGGAATTGAAACTACTTAATGACTGATTGTATCTGAAACTGTGGCAACCAAAAGTCATTCAGCTATGCACCTCTTGGTCTCCCAAAGGCTGATGACTAAATTTTCAATTGGGTCCTTATTACAACTTAAAACAAAATCAAACTAAAGCTCATTAATTGATTAATTCAAAACATAATTTGGTCAACCAACAATATTTGTTGAAAAGCTTCCTTTATTTTCCTTGCTATAGCCGTTATCATAGGTCATGTTCATATCATTCTCTCCAACGTCATGGCATGCTCAATTATCTATTAATCTAGCTATGTTAGGCTCTTTGACCATTGTTGTAGCTCACCATATGTATTCTATGCCTCCTTATCCATACCTAGCTACTGACTATGGTACACAATTATCATTGTTTACACATTCTCTTGAAAAGGATTTGTCCTCAAATCAGATTTATCATCTACATAAAAAAGAGATAAATCTGATAAATTGAATGTAGAACTAACATTATACTCACTTTTTATGGTTAAATAGCTCTCCTTCACTTCAATTGTTTCACTCTTCTTTTTTTCTTGAAGTTCTCTCATTTTCTTTTTATCCTCCTCTGCCATCAATTTAATGTTCAAACCTTTAAACCGGGGTTCTGATACCAACTGATATAAATCACAAGGAGTAATTTAGGATCTTTAGGGTTAGAACCTTGTAAGAAATTTAGGAATTAGAAAGAAGGTGGAAGGAAAGAATCACTCTTCCCAATGGAGGCAACATACAAAGGATGTGACAGTCCTTTGATACAGCCAAGGGTTCTTGAATCACTCAAGAATTTAGGAGAATCACTCTCACTAAGATAAAAGAGATAAACTCTAATATTTCTGAATAAAATTTCACTTGTTATTTCTTGATAAAAATGGTTCAGCTGATATAGAAGCGTTGCCATCAGAATTACAAAAGATTCAATAAAAGAAAATAAATACTAATAATAACTCATTAATCTAGGAATTGAAAACTATTTAATGGAAACAAATAAAGGCTAATAATAATCCATTAACCTAGGAATTGAAACTACTTAATGACTGATTGTATCTAAAACTGTGACAACCAAAAGTAACTCAACTATGCATTCCTTGATCTCCCAAAGGCTGATGACTAAATTTTCAATTGGGCCCTTATTAATTACAACTTAAAACAAAATCAAACTAAAGCCCATTAATTGATTAATTCAAAACATAATTTGGTCAACCAACAATATTTGTTGAAGAACTTCCTTTATTTCCCTTGCTCTAGCCCTTATCATAGGTCATGTTCACATCATTCTCTCCCTCTTGAAAAGGATTTGTCCTCAAATCGGATTCATCATCTACATAAAAAAGAGATAAATCTGATAAATTGAATGTAGAACTAACATTATACTCACTTTTTATTGTTAAATAGCTCTCCTTCACTTCAATTGTTTCACTCTTCTTTTTTTTTTTCTTGAAGAAATTTTTCTCTCATTTTCTTTTTATCCTCCTCTGCCATCAATTTGATGTTCAAACCTTTAAACCGGGACTCTGATACCAACTGATATGAATCACAAGGAGTAATTTTGGATCTTTAGGGTTAGAACCTTGTAAGAAATTTAGGAATTAGAAAGAAGGTGGAAGGAAAAAATCACTCTTCCTAAGGGAGGCAATATAGGATGTCCTTTAATACAGCCAAGGGTTCTTGAATCACTCAAGAATTTAGGAGAATCACTCTCACTAAGATAAAAGAGATAAACTCTAATATTTCTGAATAAAATTCCACTTGTTATTTCTTGATAAAAATGGTTCAGCTGATATAGAAGCGTTGTCATCAGAATTATAAAAGACTCAATAAAAGAAAATAAATACTAATAATAACCCATTAATCTAGGAATTGAAAACTATTTAATGGAAACAAATAAAGGCTAATAATGATCCATTAACCTAGGAATTGAAACTACTTAATGAATGATTGTATTTGAAACTGTGGCAACCAAAAGTCAATCAGCTATACACCCCTTGGTCTCCCAAAGGCTGATGACTAAATTTTCAATTGGGTCCTTATTAATTACAACTTAAAACAAAATCAAACTAAAACCTATTAATTGATTAATTCAAAACATAATTTGGTCAACCAACAATATTTGTTGAAGAACTTCCTTTATTTCTCTTGTTCTAGCACTTATCATAGATCATGTTTACATCAAAGTGTGTTCAAAATATAAGATAAAAAATAAACAAGCAATCATCATTAAGTAGTCATGCACTTAATTTAATTGTCATAACTCTCAAATTAGAGTGTTAAAGAATGTTATTAAACTTTTAATGTTGGATCATATAGTGAAAATCAACACAATAGTTTGTTCACTTGAGGTCCATAATGTCAATCTCAAAATACACTAAAACAATAAATAACTTGGACTCACAACACTGTGTTGTGTGTGACAGACACTGCACAAAGTCTTAAACATTTTAAATCCTTTAATTAAGGTATGTATCTGTAAATTGTTACATTACGCAATTTAATTTATATTCCATAATAATACTCATATCAATAACTTTGATGATAAAAAAACAATTAAGTTTATATTCGAAAATCTCTATCTAGATGATGATTGAATAATAAATATTTGAGATTGTATTTCTGTAATAAATTGAGAATTATTTTTGTTTCTCATGTTCATTATACAATCTCATTTATATTCTAATAAAAAGATTTTAAAGAAACTCTGATATTCAAACTCAAAGCATTGAGGTATATTGTTTTGTTCTTTGATACTCAATACATATTTAAAGGCACATAAACAGTTAGTCTAAGAAGTCTTTTATGGAAAATTTCTTACCTCTACACTTTCTAAGAAGTGTTACATAATATTAAAAAAAGTGAGGGTTGAGATGTTGGGTTTCGGAAGGGGTCCACTTTTGTTCCTTTTTGGATTTACCTCTGATTTATAAATTAGATTAAGAAATTTGTAAAAATATTATAAAAGTACTTTTAAGATGAACTTCTTTTAAATTTAAATAACCTCATTTCAAACTACTTTTATAACAATTTTTTTAATCAAATTTATCAATATTCAGTCAAACACCACAGCCCTCAACCTACGATTATGTTAAAAAATAATTTAACTTATAAAATTTAAATAAAATCAATTTTTGAAAATAATATTTTTTTTATAAATTTGGAAAGTATATCCCTCCCAATTCAAATTGCTCGCTCCGCACGGCCCATTCAAGTCCAATTTCGTATTCTTCCACGTTTTTCAAAATTTTCTCTCCTTTTAGTACCAAAACAAATTATCTTCTAATTTGTAACATTTTTTTTTCATTATTTTTAGTTGATTTCATGTATCTTTACATTCCGTGACGAAAATTTCAGTACACCTTGTTGAGACAATATTTTTTCAGTAACAGTTCAATTCAAGTCTTAAATTATATGTAGCACCTCTTTCCGTTTTTTTTAGGATTGTTAAGTAAATTAATGTTTAATTAATTCAATTTTATAAAATCGGATGAGATTTTTGTGTAAGATTTTCAACTTGGATTATTTTTCATAATAAACATTTGAAATGTTACCATCGTGCAGTGTTGTTTTATAATAAATTATACACGCATGTCTACGCTGACAAACATGGAAGGTGTTTTATATAAGATGGTGGTGTTTTTTTCATATAAAATTTAGGCATGAATAACACTCCGTTGTATTCGTATGCGTGGCCCAAATGTCAAAGTCCAAATATAAAAATTATCATATAACGATTTATGATTTTGAATGTTATGTTTTGGGGTCTAACTTTTCCGGTCATTACTATAAATCAGTGTAAAATTAGAATATGTGCGTCAATCAAATTTGATAAATAATGATTTTGCCATTCTCTTAAATATTTAGCGGGTACTAGATGAGTGAAAAAAATTGATAAATATTAGTAATATATACATGATAAATTATGTGGTTAACAAAATACTTGTAGTGTGGGCCAGAATTGACAAATAATTGCTTTCAATATGTCATGAAAAAATGGTAAGACCGAACAAATTAAAAATAAATCAGAAGAATCGGAAAATAGTAAACTCGCACGAGTGACTTCTAATATGGTTATGGTTTACAAATACAATTAAACTATCTCCAGTTTTAGTAAAATAACGAAGCAAGAAAAGGGAACCGCATAATTTTTGTCAAAGAAAATATTTAAAACATGAAAATTCCAGGTTTGTTTTTTAGGATAATAAAATAAGAGAAAATTTAAATGAAATTTTCAAAATTTCTTATTTTTCTCTTTTATAAATACTCGTGAACAAATTTACTAAATAAACTAAAAGATATATGGAAGACTTATTTGTTTATTATTTTTAAAAATAGTTTCAATTTTTAAATTTTAAAAACTAAGATTTAAAGTATTTTTTATTTTTAGTTTTTTTCTTAATGGTATAAATGTATTCACCTATAGTTCCACAATATCCATACTCTTCGTCACCATTAACTTATCCAAATTATTTTCAAATTTTTGTCACAATTTTTTGTGTGATGATTGATATCATATTTTTTTTACTTAGAAATAATCTTTACCATAGAATTATTAATGAATAGATTTTTTTTCTAACTTATTTTAAAAACTAAATCAAACAAATCTTTATTTTTTAAAAAAAAAAATCTTGTAGAGATGAAGTGAATTTTTTGAAATTCAATTTATTTGATCTAAAATCAATAAAATAAATTTGGATTTATAACTTATATCTATTTAATTAGATTGAATTGATTTTAAATTTTTTAATATGGTTTAAATTTAAATTAGCTTAAATTTATATTAATTCAATTTAGATAAAATTAATTCAGTCCAACTTAATAAGACTTAAATAAATTTGAACATACCCCCAATAATCAATTTAATCTCATATTGACTTTATCTTAACTTATTTAAAAGGATTCAGTAATTTTGATAAAAAGTAAAAAATGTAGATTTAAATTTTATATTAGGTTAATTAAAATAAACTTCATATTTTAAATAATTTGAATTTAAATATTGTAGTGTTTCGAAGATCACATATTAAGGATGTTACAACGGAATAACATACAGAATATTGTAGGACTGAGTTCCTGATAATTTTTATGGCTAGAATTCTTGGTGTCAATTATGGGATGGAGTCTAGAATCATGATTCTCCTCTACTCCTTAAGACCGGGATATGATCTGTTAGGTTTATAAATCCTACATTGATTAGAAAGAAATTCAGTTCCCTTTCTCCTAATTGTGAAATTCAGGTGAAACATAATACTAGAAATTGGGGAGTTTTCGCATGGCTTTTAGCCCTGTAAAACCCTAATCTCCTACACAACCGAATTGAGAAATAAAAAACCCATAAATGTGACGATTGTATCACATTTGGAAGTAAAATGAAAGTAATTAATGGCAGAGTAAAACAAGTAGAGAGAGAAGTAATGGTGTGAATGTAGTAGCAGAAGTAGGGATTTACATGATTTGGAAGAGATCAAAAGCTTGAGAGTGGCAAGGAGTCCAGCCATTGCACAACTCGTGGCATGTCGGGCCTTTCCTTCTGCATCTGACTGGTGCACTCACAGGCGATGCGCACGTACTCCTTAATACTCTCCTCACTCAACCCTTCTCTAGAAATATTCACATCAACCATCTCCATCTCCGCATTTTCCTCTTTCATCTTCCTGGCCCACTGGACAATCCCGATGTCTTTCTGGCCCAATTTCATCGGCAAATTGGGCCGGTGACTCGACATGGTCTCAATCATCAAAATCCCAAAACTATACACATCCACCTTCGTGTTAGCCACATTGGACCCTTCTATGTACTCGGGCGGCATGTACCCTATAGTGCCTGCGAACTGTGTAGACACATGGGAGTGCGTTTTGTCGATCCTGCGCGCCAACCCAAAGTCAGCGATGTGGGACTGGAATTTGGAGTCCAGCAAGATGTTGCTGGCCTTTATGTCGCGGTGAATGACAGCCTTCTCGAGCCCGTGGAGGTAGGCAAGCCCATGGGCCACGCCGCGGATGATGTTGACGCGGGTTTCCCAGGACAGGGGGGAGTGAGAGAGATCGGGCTCGTGGAGCCAGTGGTCGAGGTTTCCCTTTTCGAGGAACTCGTAGACCAGTAAGCGTTCCGGGCCTGAGGCCCAGTACCCGAGGATTCTGACGATGTTTGGGTGGTTGAGCTTGCTTAAGGTTTCCATCTCCGCCCTAAATTCGCGGAAGCCCTGGAAGGCGTCTGGGGAGAGCTTCTTGACGGCGACGAGGGCGTTGGTGGAGAGGCGAGCCTTGTAGACGAGGCCGAAGCTGCCGTCCCCGACGATGAGGTGCGGGGAGAAGTTGTCGGTGGCGAGGGCGAGCTCCTCCCACGTGATCTTGATGAGGTTGGGGTCGGAGGACCAGCTGGCATCGACGACGGCGAGGGAGAAAGAGGCGTCACGGGTGGGGCCGGGTCGGGTTCGAATCTGAGTGCTGCGGGTGCGGGCTTTGGAGGAGTTGCGGTACTGCTGGCAGAGGAGGATGGCGGCGGCGAGGAGGAGCGTGACGACGAAGAAGCTGCCGATAGCGGCGACGATGGCTTGGTAGGTGTGGTCCATGGGAGGGGTGGAGTGATTGATTGAATGAGTTTAGAGAGAGTGGAATGATTAAGGGAGAAGGGAATGGAAAATGGAAGGGAAAGTGTGATTGAGATTTCGTGGAAGGTGTTGCAGGAGACCCGTCAACGGATTTATTTAACTCTTCAAAGTCTATTCTAACCCTACTTTTTTTTTTTCCTTTCTCTCTGCTGTTAATATTGGCGCTCTTGTTGACTTGGGAGGTCCATTATTAGTGCTTCAGTTGACCTTAAAGAAGGAAGAAGACCGTTTAAGCAGCAGAGTTGAAAATCACTTTTTTTTTAATTACTGCACTGTTCTGAGTTATTAAGTTTTTTGGTCCAGAATCATGGAGTGAGATTCTGACATATTCTCTGCACTCACAGTTCTCTAAGTTGAAATTCTGGGTTGGATGGTTGGATTGGAGTTGGACGCGTTCAAAAATACCTTCCACTGAAATCTGTTGCAATACTTTATCAAACACGAAATTCTTTTCTTTCATGATCAATAAATAATTTAATTTAAATACACTAATTTTGACGTTGTCCCAACCCAATCACATGTTAACATGCAGTTCCTTTGTGCAACAGCGGAAAACGAGGTGACATAGGTAAGATGAAAAAAACAAAAAAACAAAAGAGAAGAAAAAACAGCATCCTTCCACCAAAAAGAATGTAACCAGAGTGGAGATAGAAGACCTTCACTGTTTGCTTTATGTTTGAAATGGAAAGGTACAGTGTGAGACTCAATAGAAATAGTTTCATTCTCCTTTCATTTCCCATGTAAAAATGACTCGGGACTACTTTCCAGTTACACTGTTCAGGTGCAGTACAGAGACTCAAACCATCCATCTCCTGTTTTATTTCTTTATTTTCACTTTTGAGTTTAATCAAACAGCTAAAAATGACATTTCCTCTCATTGGTGAATATTTACATGTTCTAATTCTACCCTTCCATTATGAGCTGACATTGTAGAAATTAACCTTAAAGCTAATTTTCAGTCACTCTGCATAAGCTTAGTTGCAGTATAAAGAATAAATAGATGTATTTATGTGAGATTTCAGAAGACATTTTTTTACATTTAGGTAGATTTTTAAAGATTTTCAAAAAATATAATCATTTTTTAGATTTTTTATGAGATTTGTATGATTAGTAGGATTTTGTGATTTAGGTGTTCAAAAAATTATAAAATATGAATTCATAAGATTTAATTAATTTTATGGTTTTACATTTAAAGAGTTCTATGTATTTAAAATACAATTCATTAATACTTTATATCTTATCTGTTTACTGTAAAACACGTCTTTATTTGTGATTTTATTATGCATTTTTTAATAAATTAAAGTGCATTCTATCTATTAGTACTTAACATTAAAGTAAACTATTTAAGATATAAATAATATTTTATATTGTAAAGAACATAGTTGTTATAATGTTGTATATGTAAAATAGTAAATAAATAAATAACAATTTTTATATTATATTATATTATTAGAATTGTAATAAAGATTGAAATTTTAGTTTATCGATGGAACATCAAACTATAATATCATAATTTATTTATATAGCGACATACAAAAGTGGCTCTCACAAAGATCATCTAACTGAACTATTCTTGTTGTTCATTAGTCGCATCTCCACCTCTTAACTCCTGATCTGGTCTCACATAAAAGTGATCATTGCAGTCCCATCCACATGAAAAAATAGGGAGGAAGTATTAAATTATTCAATATAATAAACACAGATATAAAATTAATAATTATATATCATCATCAATTACAAATTATTAATACACTAGGACGTGCCTTCCGAAAGTCTACCCTAACTACGTTCGAACTCAGAGGCTATCATCTGTGGTCGGCACTCGCACTACCATTTTTACCACTCTCCATATAGAGTGAGATTACTGGCGTTATTCGTCACTCATCCATCCTGAAGTACCCTTCCAAGCACCACCAGTCATTCCCATCGACTTCTCACCACCAGTTTACCTGACCCGACCAATCAGTGAAGTCTGAGATCTCACTTGAATCCTCCGACATAGTTAGTACACTGTATCACCCAAGTACCATTCAAACACAACAACAATAATTTACATCTGCCTGATTCTGGATCACCTGTCCTCACAGCTCATTCGGGTCATCAAATAATAGTATTTGACTGATTATGGGCACCAACCCTCCGACTCAGTCTAGCCAATACATAACATCTCATGATTGATTCTGGTCTTCAGCCCTCAGGCTCAGTCTAACCCACACACGTCACAACATACTGCTGAATTTCTAATTCCACTCTATATTTTAATTGTTTTCCTAATATACCTTTACTTTATTTCTAAAATTTCAATTATATCCTTAAACATTTTCTATTATTCCTTTCGAATCCTAAAATTATTAAATTACTATTTTGCCCTTAATCTTTTCTCAAAATTCCATGTATATCTCTATGATGACTATTTTACCCTTAATCTTTTCTCATAATTCCTTCCATGTCCTGAAAATGACTATTTTACCCTTGAACATTTATTTTATTCCCTCCATGACCCAAAATCATTATTAAATTACCATTATACCCTTAATCTTTTTCAAAATTTCATTTATGTCCCTAGGATGTGAAATAACTATTTTACCCTTATATTTTTGAAAAATTTATCTGTTACTCCTTTCTTCAACCTCGTGTTAAGTAACCATATCAAATTTGTCAGATTTTAAATTTTTCAGTTTCAAGTAACCAAACTAGTTCCAAATTCAAATAAAACATGAGATATGTCTAATTTAACTAAAAAACAACAATTTTACCATATAATTTATCCTTAATTTCAAGAATTTCAATAAAACTCCAAACTTTTCAAACAAGAAATCTTCAAAATCAGTCATTCAAATAATTCAGATTTCTACTCTATTCCTTATTCACAAAGTACCCAACAATTCAGTCTAATATATTGAATGAATTAAATTTCCCCTTACTTGATGTGTTATTATTACCGAAGTTTTTCTACTTAATCCAAGTTCTCTCCCAATTTCTTTCCCATTTTACCAGATCCTACACGAGTAGAATTTCGTTACTTGAAATTGAGACGAAAGAAGAAGAAGAACAAAAAATGTGTGATATGGGAGGGAGAATCACTTGCTGCAACTCTTCCTCTCCTCCCTTCGCACATATCTAAAATTTGTGGTGCGAAGAAAACTTTACGAAGTTTTTGCATTGTATAATATTATTATAATACTCACATACGTCACATGTATTACTACTAGATCATTGTTAAAAATAATAAGTAATTTTATTATTCTCATACAATTTTATGAGTAGAAAAAACTAAATATCCAATTAAAAAAATGTATTTGCTTAATCATTCGCTATTTTCAGTCAAATAAATTGAATTTCTAAACAAAAAATTTCATATAATTGGTTAATAAAAAAGTAACAAATAAATCATAAGATTTGAAATAAAAAAATGTAAATCAAATAGAAATTATAATAATTTGGGTTAAATTTTTTTTTTCATATTCTCGAACCTAAATAATAGTTTAAAGTTATAATTTGCATAATAGATAATAATTTTATACATAAACATTCATCCACTAATTCAATAGGAAATTTATTACAAAAATAAAATAATTAAAATAGTTAAAATAAATATTTTTAAATGTTTTTAATCTATAAGTACATGCTAATAATATTTATAATTAACGTTAGTCTATCTTGTAATTTTATCTTAATAAATTTATGGATACATTATTAAAATATATATATATATATATATATATATATATATATATATATATATATTTAGTGTCCACAACTTTTATATAATATGATGATAAACCAAATTTGATAAAATCTCACATTGGTAAATAGATTGATAATTGTAGTTCGTAAATTCGTTTTAACCTGTCTTGAATCAAGAGCTAGACTAATTTATTCATTTTCAAAAAAATATTTATATATTTAAAATTAAAATAAAAAATTATAATCTAAAACATTATATTTTTATATTATATTATTAAAATATATAAATATAGTATAATTTAAATAATAAATATTAATAAATTAAACTTAAATTATTAATTATATTATAATAAAATACTTTAATATATAATAATATTTTAATATTATTTCATAAAAGATAGTAAATAATTAATACAAATTTTAAAATGTTTATGTAATTAATAAAATATATTTTTTAAAATATATACAAATATTTTATTTATATAAAAAATTGAGCATATTAACCGGTAAACCCATCGAATTTATCACCCCAGTATACCAGCAAATTTAACTTTTGCATCAACTATCTTTAAATATCATACAATAGTTCTTTTTGTAACGCTCAGTGCCTTAGGAAAAAGAAAAAATGCTACGCTCACTGAAAATTAATTGCTTAGAAATATGAACACCTTATGAGGTGGAATATCCATAATTTATATTCCAGACCTAAGGGCTGTCAAATCATTCTTAGGAGGGTGTATATGCTGAGAATATGTATTAAAAGATGACTAACATTAAAACTTTTTGGCATGCAATCAATCGTTTTTTCCATTTATTTTCATCCCCACAAAAATTTATTGAACAAAAAAAGGCAAATAATAATAAATATAATAAAGATTTATTTATCGAGTCTTAGATTCTCAATTTAATGACGTTCTGTAAAAAAACAGTTCCCTCAAATTTGGCCACATATTCCGGACATTATAAATTACAGATTAATTTAAGATGGGGAAAAATGTGATGAGAATTTCAACCTGTCAATAACTTAATTTCGTTTTCGTTGTCTACATCGGTAGGTTTTGCTTGCCCAGGTGCCCTTTGCGCAGTGCAAGCGACATTTCTGACAATTGACGAGTAAAGATCAAACTCAGCCTTTAATTTTAGGCAGCAAGCCCGTATCCACTTCTCTGCTACAGAGGTGGATACACTGTCTTGGCTATCCCTCTCGTGTTCCTCAATGGCAGGCCGTATTTCATCGTATAAGGAATCAAGAGTAGATGTAACATCATCCTTTCTTTTCTGCATGGAGGATGCATTTAAATCAGAGATGAACACAAAACTAGACAAGGAAATACAAACGGCACCATATGCTACACATAGCATGATGGAATGACAATAAAACACCAACTCCCTAGGACAATTCTCATCTGAACTATGCCCAACAATTCGATTATTTTCATTTTGATGTTAACATTGATATCTTTTTGTAATTTCTTACAGTAGCATTAAGCATTGTAAGAAGATATGTGCATGAAGCAGTAATTGCAAGAAGATAGCATTAAGCAGGAATTCTAAGAGAAGAGATTTTAAAAGGGTCAGGGACTTCTTTGAAGCAAACGTGCGAAGTGAAAATAATTTAACCAATTTACTTGCTCACTTGACATTTTTGGTTACTGGGAACTATATCCAAATCAGCAACAAATATGATTTGGGTGCACATTATAAAGGAGTGATAAGATTGGAGTTTGCCACCAAATTAAACAACTTTTACAAATTCAAGATTACAAAATCATGCACAGCCTCCTACTAGACAAACTCTTTGAGGCTTCCACCTCATGTTCAAATACATTTATTTTCTCTAACTGATAGATCTAGATTGTGAACTAGTCATTAAAAACAAAGGATCCTCCAGATCCAATCACGAATCTGATAACGACGTTACTTAAACTATCTTTGCAAGAAGACGTACCTAAGATTAAGTCCACTAATAACAAAATTAAAAGCAAGGTTATAAAGTTCAGCAATCAGAAACAACAAAAACTAAAGAAAGTCATACCTCACAATTTAAAATCTCCTCTTGTGCTTCCTTGGATGCTAGGAGGCCAGCAGCAAACTTTGCATCAACTTTCTTCTCTACGAGATTTTTAAACCTTCCGCCATTATATGCCCTTGATCTTTTGGTAGACATGGACCTAGGTCCAATGTGATAGTTTCTGCCAGTAGCATTACTTCGGATTCGTGATATCATTGCATTCTTTTGTGAAAGGGTCTGCTCAGCTTCGTGTGTGTACAAGTGCATATCCTCATCTGCTACATCAGTTTTAATCTTCTTGGCATCTAAACCTTTCATCTGAACTGAATCAAGGGACTGAACATGGAAACCAGTCGACTCCGATAGTTGCTCAGCTTTAAGCATAACATCCAAAGAGGATTCAGTTCGTCCATTAACATTTGACACCGGTTCATCCTCTGCAGAATCATATACAGGAATTTTCTCAACAGAGTACCTGTAACCAATAACATCAAGAAGAAAATTATGCACCAAATCACCATGAGAAAAGGAATCAAAGGAACAGAGTACCAAAAATTAAGCATTACTTTAAATTCTGTATTTAAAAGTTAACATGTTGTATATAAATAAAATAAATATTAGGAAAAAGTATTTCTCCTTAATCAGGTGTATTTTAGAATTAATTAAGTTTCGGCTTATTGAAAAGTTTTAATGCTCACATTACGTGTTCAGACACAATAAAAATTGAATGGTTACGCACCTACACTCTGGTTTGTGACTGGAAGAGTGTAAAACTGTTCTACATTGTCAGTGCATAACCTTTTTTCTCAAGAAATAAATATATCGGAGGAAAAAGTTTATTTCAATTAGGAGAAATTTTTTTGTCTAAATTAGGTTAATAAGTAAAAAGTAAAAAAAGAGTATGGAAATTTTCTTCGGTTATGCATATTAAAAATTATTTGAATATATTTTAATCTCTAAATATATGTTGTTTTGGGAATTAATCCATTAGTTTTTTTTTTTAAATTTATATTTGCAAAGAAATATGAAGTCGTCACCTTTACTCCGAACAAACACGCTGGTGAGAGATTAAAAGAGTATTTTATTTTGAGTTAAATATAACCAAAAAAAGCATAACAGAGATTATAGTGGGACTAATTTCAAAATAGCCAATATTTTCAAAGACTAAAAACATTTAAACCCTAGAATAATTATAAAGTTTGCATTCTATGCCCAATAATGACATATAAAATGACAAATCATGTCGTAACTTTTGATTTTGTTTATACAAAAATAAAACGCATGCAAATTTAAGGACTGGATTTTCAAGGCAATTTCCATGCGCAATTGTAACACGGTAGATAATGCTAGTTTGTTTCCCATACTCAAGAAAATTTTGAAACAACACACTAGTTTCAGGTGCTGGTATTCAATACTAAATCATTTTATTATTACAGTGGATGCAGATTCCAAACAGAGCAAATGAAAGCTATTATTTAGAGAGGAATGCATCACAAAATAAACATAAATTAAAAATTACCTATCATCATCATCTTCCCATAGATAAGTGTCCTCCTGCTCATAGTTTTCCCAACATTAGGAAAAATAGTGATTGAAAATGAATAATAGAAAAGGAAAAGAAAAGAAAAAGAAAGGGGTGTAGCTAGCTATTTCCAATTATTAAAAATGGTTCTTTCCCCCAATAAAATTATTCTCGGCACATGCATTCCACTAGATCAAAACTGATACGACAACAACAATTAAGCCCTTTACCAGTAAGTCAGGTTGGTTACATGGATCAATCAAACAAATCCATAGGCTGTTTGTTTCAAGGTGTTAAAAAGGATTCCTAGGAAAGTGAACTAGGGAATATCACATTCCCATTTTTGGTACAAGTTTTGAATAAAGTTTCTCAGGAATTATTGATTCTTAGGAATATAAGATGTTCATGTTTCCCTTGCTTCTTATTCCCTTAGTTAAAATATTTTCATAGGAATATAAGTTATTTTCTACAATAACAACCAATCCAACTACATGCTTCCTAGTTTCTGTTCCCACTTTCCTTTTTTCAACTTTTTATTAAAATTTATCCTAAAATTACTAATGCTTTGTTCGGAATAGACAAGGAATTTGGAAGAGTGAAAAATGAAAGAAAGTAGAGAAAAAAAGTGGAAAATGAGATTTGATTATATTAAGTGAAAAATAGTGTAAATGAGTTAAAAAGTGAAATAAATTTATTTTTCTTAAATATCTATTATTTTAATATTTTTATTTAATTATATATTATTATAATTAAAAAACAAGAAAAAAATTGACATAATCGATTACATATTCCCATGACCCTGTTTTAACAAAAAAAATACTTCCCACATATAAGCACTCGTCCTTCCGTTCCCGGTATCCGAACAAGCACTAAATGTCAACTAAACATTGGCATGGAAACAATATTCTTGAGCATAATATCCATGAGAATGTGATTCCTGGATATACAATATACTACCTTGAAACAAACACTCTCATATTGTTCAATAGACAAACCATAGACCTTTAAATTCTTCCCGAAGACTTTGCCTACAGTTTTTCAGTTTCCCTCGGCGTCTAGCCCTAAGGCAACCCTTCATGTATGTGATCTACTCTCCTAATTCAGGCCTCTAGTGATCTTCACTACACATGCCCAAACCACCTAAGGTAAGATTCTACCTCATTTTCTATAATGAATCAAAACTGATAATCAAATTGAACAGAAGAGCTCGCCTCTTAATAAAGCCTCAATCACAGCACATTTTCAGTATTACTCAAGTTTAATACTAGGTCAACTACACTATAAAAAGAATAAAAAACATTGAACCATCACTATTCAAGCTATCAGCAGGATTTAAAAACTCATGGTGTACAAGACTACAACAATTGATGCCATGTGAAGCACAAAAGATCATTCATTCAAGCACTTAATTTTTGTGGGGTTAAAACTACCTTAGTGAAACTTACCTGAAAACCACGAGATTTTGCTCCAAGGAATCCTGAGCATTTGAGTGCACCACAAAGGCAACGAACCTTTGCACCTCCAAACCATTCAAAATTATAATCATAAGCTAATTCAGTTCCAATAGGAATATCATGTTTTGCAAATATTCCAACTCTTATTTCCCCCAACACATTCCATTTTCTTGTCTCACAATTCGGTTGACTGCAAACTTAAAAGTATTCATTTGATATCAAACCTTTGGGAAACAAAGGAGAACAAGAAAATGCACCTACTATATTTGTATACTAGCAGGTTCGTTTTACTTAATCTTCATATTTTTGTTTGAAGTGATTACCAGGAATGATTTATAAATCTAGCAAGGCTTCCCTTCCTGGTTGCATCAATAGATTCAGATGCATTAAGGCAAATGATAAATGAATCTATAAGACCTGCAAAAAGTAAAAAAAAATTTTAGAAATGTAAAATTATATATCAGCCAAACAGAAACAGTGAATTAATTGACATTTGACCTTGATTTTCATAAGCCTGGGATCTACGTTTGGCTTCTTTCCATGATATTACTTCTCCACAGTATTCGATGACAAATTGTCCTGCCTGTATGAAATATATAAATTAAAGTGTGGCACTGCCGAACTAGAGGATCAACTACATAATAAGCCATGCCCATAAAACAGAAAATGCATTGACATTCATCGAATTTTGCAAGAAAGTCTCCCTTCTCTTTTTGCAAATTTCACAGCAATTCATTACCTTGAGATCCTCATCAGCCAAAAGACCCCATCCACGGCCTTCAGTTTTAAACAACTTTGTTTTTGCATATTCACACTTCTGAAATTTCTGTAACCATGACATATGAAACATGAATATATTAATTGACGTTGGCCTCATCCAAAACAAAGCAAAAGGTTCTTGAGCACTACTGACAAGTTTATAAAATGAAAAGAAAAAACAGAATATAAGTAAGCAATGATTATGTCAAGTTTCCTCAGACACAGGTAGGGCGATAAAAAGGAATTAACTTCTCATAATCAACCAACTACCAGCAGGATGGTCATAGTAAACAAAAAGCTGTATCTTTAATAAAAGTTTTGTAATCAACAGATGTATATGAAATTAAATTTACATAATATAATTATATATATATATATATATATATATATATATATAGAGAGAGAGAGAGAGAGAGAGATACACAAACACACACACACACACACACAATATAGCATCACATACAGAGCTAAACATGACTTCACCTGATTTTTACATAAGATACCACAAGGGCAATAACCAGGTGTGCATTCAGTGCTGGTTAAAACATTCAGGCAGCTATCCCCACATGCACTGTCAGAGTCATCAGCATCATATTTGCATTCACATATAGCAATATCCTCCTCCTTCTGCTTCTTGTGCCTGGAAAGAAATGAAGAGAAAGGTAAACAACTCAATATAACTTCTAAAGCTTAATCCAGAGTTCTAATACAAAATATTCATTAGATCTTGTATTTGTGATTGGATTGATAGGAAGGGATCGCATGGGATTTATAACTTAGGCTATGTTCAGATGATGGTAAGGAGTGTAATTAGTCAGTAAACCACTATTTGGGTTTCTTAAAAGTGGATGATGGACTTCATTTCATTTCATCTCATTCCACTATTTGGTTGTTTTTTAAAAGCTGTAATCCAATTATAATGGCACCAACTTTTTTCCTTGCTAGGTTTACTACTTTAGGATTTTTCTACACATTTGGATTCTGGGAAAGATGTCCACTATTCCTTGGATGGGCAGCTAAAATCTTATTAAATCCTGTTTGTCCAGTAACCCCCTCCATTATGCTCACTCTTCTGTTCTCCAAAGGTATTGGCTCAAACAAAGGAAATGGGGCAGCTTCATGTTACTAAATCTTGTGATCAGGAGAAGGCCAGGGGGATGATACTTGATACTGAGACTAAGTGGCTATTTTAGATAAACTTCTTTATAAGCACTTATAGGAAAAAGAAATAAAAAGGTAAAATGAAATAAGTTTCTCTAAAAGCTAAAATTAACTTATGCATAAGTTAAAAATTAACTTTTGGAGAAACTAATAAAAAGGAACTAATACAAATTAGTTTGTACATAAGCTAATTTTAACTTTTAGAGAAACTTATTTAATTTATTTCTTCTTACTTTCTTCTCGTATAAGTGTTTATGAAAAAAATTTATCAAAACAAACTCTATCAAAACTCCAAGTATGTAAATGATCAATGAATAAGAACTACAAAAGAAACACAAGTAAGCATAATAGCAAGTTCAAATGAATGAAATTTTACCAGACTTTAACTTATTACCAAATCAAAATTCAGCATTGCTGAAACGTTCAAAAGATTTCTGTAAGCAAACTTTATTGAGTTACAGAGTGAAACACCACTAAGCAATCAGTAAGCCATCAAGTTCAAGAATACACGGGTTATAAATTAAATTTCAACAATACATAGGGTATGAATTCAATTTCATACTAAGAAGCAGCGTCCATCAAAATATACTATGATCACAAAGAATAGGAGTTGTCAACAAAGAGCATGGAAAGATGGAAGAGAACACATCGTATAAGGAACTACTAACCTTCGCATGAAAAACTCATTCTGATTTATATGTATGTACTGAGGCAACTCTGCAGTATAAGGATCCTTCAAAGTAATAATCTCCTTGTTACTTGACTCAAGACACACATTAACATGAAAAATATTGTTTTTCAATAAATAATATAAAAGTATAAAAGCCTAGACATCCAGGAAGGAAGTGAGGCAAAAACTAAAATAAAGAAGAGGAAAAAATTACCATCCAAGCAATGGTTGTATTGGTAACCTGTGAAATTAGAGAACATACATAATTTTAGAGAGAGCAAAGCACATAAATTTATAAGTTCAGGACTCGTCTCTCTGATAACTTTATACACAGCAATCAACTAGCAAATTAAACCAAACTTCTAGAAACAAAAGTAAGATAATAAGCAACATAATCATTCAAAATGACAATGTAGAAAAATAACAGCACAGCTTTTTGTCTTCAATTTATTAATCACTATGGGAGGACCAATTTCATTTTTTTTCTATAATTTCAAGGAAGTCATAAAAATTAATCTAAATTGTTATATTTTCCTTCAAAATGGATAACAAGTGAGAACAAGCACAGATCGCTATTTTTCACCGTTAAAGACATGGGCTAGAAATAGCACTTTACACATTCAAGCAATCCCATAAGACATTTTCCTTATAAACTAATTTAAACCTAAAGTTTCACAACAACTAAATTGCAAGAATGTGAATCTAGTGAAAATAACACAATGTCATTACAAATTTCTCTAGACATAATGTGCAAATTTGCATTCAATTTTTCCCCTTCCTTTTGCTTTTCTTCCTTTCCATTTCAATTGGGCGCTATCCCCGTCATAGCTAAACAAAATGTACAGGGGCATGAGGTAGTTGAAGGTGATCTAACCTAAGAGTCATATTCTCAATCTATTGAGCCACAATTTCACAAGTCCAGAGCTGCTACTAGGGATTAGCTTGAACAGTTAGTAACAATAAAAAATTCGAATAGTTTTTACTAAAACCCTAAATCCTAGGGAGGAAATATTGAGACAGCGATAACAATGGCAGGGCTAGAGTCGCCTCCGAAAATAAGAATTTAACATAACAACAAAATTGAATTTAACTGTCATTGCAGAAAGAATAAATAGTTTGTGAGAATGAAATCTGTGCTGCAAAAAAATAAAACGCAATAATCAACGTACTTCGAAGGCGGTTATCGGTTTCTGGGAAAATAGAAGATCTGCGTCAGCACTGGCGGGAAACTTTTTCCGTTTACGCTCCGGTTTCGAGTAAGCGGTGCCGGCAAAGTACAGTTATAATGACGCCGAAGATGGCCTTGGAGTTGGACCCGCAGGACGGAAAAGTTACAGAAACTCAGCCCATGATACGTTTTTCCAACGAAATACTTTCATAGCTAAAATTTCGAAAAGTTATCATTTTACTTCTTTATTTTTTAAATAAAGTTAATTTTGTCTCATTCAAGAAAAAATTATATTAGAAAAAGATTGATTTTATAATCGGTGTAGAATGGTATAATAATAATAATAATAAAAATTAATTACACAAAAAATTAACTATAGATTGTTTCGATGAGACCGTTTATTTAGGATATTGGAAAAAATAAAAATAAAAGAATTGCAATTCTATTAAAATGTATAAATACATTATCCATCTAATCAAAGTTTTCTTATACATTATTTGTGTATTCAATGTTATCATAAAAACGAAATAGTTATATATTAATCTTTCTATGAAAGATTGGCATAGTTAAAAAAAAGTAAGCTTCTTAATTTTTGTATATTTATTCATACTTTTTTTTTTAAATAGATTTCCTTTTTGTTGGATCTACATTCCCTCATGTTCAAATTACAAATTCAAAATCACAAAAAAAAGTTGATAATTTATAAATTTTAACATTATAAAAATCCTCTAAAAACATTTTACAATCACTAGGTTACCTTTTCTATATGTTGAGAAGAGGGTATAAAAGTTGAAATACAAAAGACTACAAATTAACAAGTTTAGGTATAGACAATCTAGTAACATCACGTAAACATGGAAACATCGAGCCCTGAACTTGGATACTTTAGTTATATTACATTAACAAGTTTAGTTGTATACATTTTGTATTAACAGGGCTCTAATTTTACATATCTCTATTTTTTATTTTGATCACAGTCTTTTTTGTTTTTTTTTAATATGCAATCTATTTTATTTCATAGTACATGTATTTTTAAATAATATTCACTGATATTATCATTCCATTATTTAACATTTTTTATCAACAATTTAATGAGTATCAAAACATGTAAATACCAATGTTATGTGTTCGTCACCTTTGTATAATTTATAATTATAATTTCATATCCTCGTATTAATTTAGGTAACAGAAATGTTTATTGATATTTTTCCTACTTAACACAAACGTCGTAACGTGTCACTTGGTTGGTTAGTTACAAGCGTAAAATAAAATTTATTATTATATTGATTGAATACGTAAAATAAAACCACAGTGCCTTAAATGATCGAGCATAAGGAAGATGTAAAAAAAACAATATATATATATATATATATATATATATATATATATATATATAAATTAACATTTATACGAAAATATGTTAAACTAAAATTCAAATACACATGAATAAATTATAAATAATTGTTATAATGTACAAATTACACGCAATAAAAATATGGAAACACATACATAACAAAGTTGCTGCTCCTAAATATGATTTTTTTTCTTTAAAATAAAATGTATTGTAGTGTGTGTGTTTTTTTACATAATTAATTTTTTCTCTCAACTCGTAAAAACTTCCTAAATCCACGAGGATAGTTTTAAAAAAAATCAGGCTAAATAGTATATTCTTAAAAAACAATATTATTCTGCTTTCAAAATTACATACTACGCAAATTAATAATAATAATAATAATAATAATAATAATAATAATATTATTATTATTATTATTATTATTATTATTATTATTATGTTCTCAGGAAAATAATATATTACGAGTTACCATTAAAATATATTTTTATAATATCGTTTCTTATTGCCATTTAATTTCATTTTGTTGGATTACTTACCTTCAGAAAAAGAGCAAACAACATATCATTCTGTTGAAAGAGTTTTTTGAATTGAAAGAAAAATATTAGTTTGAAATTGATATCATAAATTTATTTAATTTCAATTATAAAAGTAGTTGGCAGTTAGTACAAGGTGTCAGAGTCTATTTCAATTAGGTTGGCAAATGGTTTGAAATTTGATTTTTTTTTCTTGCACTTATGTCTAATAGAAAATCCATGCTTGTAAAAGTAGGTTTCAACCATGTGATTAGTTTGGTTTTAATACCAACATTTCATTATTCTTCTAGTTGGTTTAAACTACTTTATTGAAAGAAGTTTATTTATTTTTATTTTAAAAATAAATAAAAGTAGTATTATCTGAATGGGACTGAATTTAATAAATCCAATAATTGCTGGTCTATGCTGAAAAATAAAAGAACAATTTGATTATACAAAATATAGATTTTATGAATATTCCGAAAATCCAACCTATACATATTAGTTATTAGAATCGCATAAAATTTTGAAGATACATTCTTCTTCGTGTTCTTACATACTCTTAAAGATAAAACTAATATAAATATTTATCAAATAAAAATATTTATATATTATATTTTTTTCAGAAAAGACTAATATAATATCCATGAATGATTTTTTTACTAATATATAATTTTTTCCTCCAAATTAATAATTATTAAATATTTTTTTTTCGTAAATTTTTTAATTTTTTTATATTTTTTTATTATTAATATTTAAGATTACATGAATGTTTGAATTGACAATTTGGATATGATTTTGAGGATTTGCAATGCAAAATTGAGTAGAATGAAAAGAAAAAAATGTTGAAGGTGTTTCCATATTTTAGAAGTGGTTGATTGTTTGATAGGAGGGAGGGTTATTAATGTATGATGAAGAAAAGAAGAATAAGAAAACAGTGTTTGCATTCGGATTGGAATCCACTTTAATTGATGGAAAGAGTGGAGTGGGAGTGTAGATTAAAGGAAGGGGCGTGGGTCTTTTTGATTGTAAGGAAAAGATGTAGGTGGTGTTGTGTGGAGAATGGCTAACAAGAAAGGCATAAATACGAATGAAAGAGGCAGTGTGGTATGCTTAAAAAGCTGACTTTGCAAGGAGAATGAATGAATGAATGTCTAGGGTTGGGTAATGCTTTAGTGAACAAGTTGGGCATGGAATATTTATGATTATTATTGTTATTAGGAAAAGCAACAATTTTTGGCATGGGAGAATGGTTAAAGCGTCTGAATCTGGCACGGTCAAGCCTAAGCCAGGTTGGAATACTTCTCTTTTCTCCATTTCCTTCCAATGCCTTTCATTCTCTTCTTTCTATTCTTTTCAAAGACGGAAGATTTGTTTGCATGCAAAAGAGAAACTCGTATACAGCAAAAGTACACGCAAACAAAATCTCTCGTTCATTCTTTTTTAACAACGTTATGTTATAAAAATATTTTTTTTTTAAAGAGAGATAGTTTTAATGTTAATATAAAAGTTATAATTTGACAAATTTTAATAAATTAAAGTTTAAAATTAAAAAAAAGGATTTCATTAAATTATATTCTCACACAGAAGATGACAAAATTTCACTGAATAATATTAGGCTCAAATGCAACATTTTGTTTTTTGGTTTTGTCCTCAGTGACCTAAGTTAACCCAACTCATGAAACAGAAAGGAGTGGTGAGTGTGTCTCAATCTCCATCAGAAGCGTTGGATCATGCCACTGAACCCGGGACCCACCAGATGATGACGTGTCCGTAGTAAATTGGTAAGTGAATATCGCAAAAAGAGTTCACTGTCACACCCACCAAGAGTGACGTGAGAAGCTCAAATCAAACCAAAACAAAAGACAAACCCTATTAAAACACTCTTCAATGCATTTTTAGTAATTTTTTTAAATTGCCAGGTTACTATATTTTTTGGGACTATTAATTAAAAACTTAATAACTCTGGGTTCTTACCGTAGAAGTGTTAATAATACTTTAACTTGTTTTCTTTTATTAATTAAAATTATTAAAAAATGCATAATTTTTTATGACAAGTTTCTCATATTGAAGGTACATCTTATTTTAATATATTAATAAATATATAAGAGATTTGTTCATAACTATATTAAGAACACACTCTTTTACATGTGTTATCTTTCATTTTCTAATTTTTATTAAAAATTATTGAATTTTTTTTTTAGTTTTTAATGCATGTGATACAATTGGATGAATGTAAATTTCTTATTTGTGCTAATTCTGACCGATAAATTTTCATTTTAAAAATATGTTTAAGATTTAGTTTTTTCATTTAATTTTTCTGTGAAGAAAGAAACAAGTGTAACAAATTTCATAAATGAAAAGTGGAACATGCTTTAAAATAAAAAGAATTTGTCTAAAGAATATGCTAGATCTCTCAATGAATAGTAAGCTTTACTATAGTTTATAATAAGTTTGATTTAATAATTATCTAATAATAAAAAGTATCTAATGAAAAGAGAGTGAAAGATTAAAAAAACAAGGGGTGCTTCTTCTTGTTGAAAAATTTCATTTCTTCGTCATTTCCACTTGATTTGGCTACAAACATTATAGCCGCGCACACTAACTCCAAAATTTTCTTTTCATTTCCCCCAAACATTCCTCAGTGCAATTCCAAAATTCCAAACTCGGAAACCGCCATCTCTGGGATCACAATCACTCCCCTTTTCTCTCTCTTCTTTTTCTTTTCAGTGAAGCTTTTCCATCACATTCCAGACCGAGCCCACAAATTTTGACCCTCTCTCCGATTCTGTGTAACGGGAATGGGAGTGAGATGAACACTTCCCACTTCCAGCTCTCGAACTCTTTCCTTACCTAGCGTGCCAGCCAAGAAGGACTCTTCATGGCTACAAAGCGCGTGTACCAAGTTTGGAAAGGAAGTAATGTAAAGTTCACTTCTTTTCCTCTTCTTCGTTGCAATTTTAGCTTCACATGCCTTCTGGGTATGTTCTGGGTTTGTGGCTCTTTGGTTTGCTTGATGCTGAAGGTTTTGAATTTCTTCTGGGGTAGTTTTGGTTGCTGGAATGTGGAAGTGGAGCTGGATTTTTTATTTTTTTTTACTTGGAGCGTGTTTTTATTTTTAAAATTATAAGCTGGGTGTGTGTTGAAAGTTGAGCTGGTAGTGGGGTGGGTTTATGTGTTCTTTTTGGGGGATTGTACAACTTTGAATGCTGAGCTGTATTGTGCCTGATTACAGATGGTTTTCAACTCAGCTATTTGATTTATGATTATTTAAGGACAAAGGTATCTGCTGTAATTCTTTTAATATTGTACCTTATTAACTTATCGGAAGTCTTAGCCTCAATTGGCCTGCTTTGACTTTTCGGTAACTAATTTATGGAGTGCAGAATTTGACCTTCCTCCCCTCTAAAATTTTACTAATTTTTTGGCACAGGATGTGTTTTTAGCTTTGGGATGAAAATATAGGTAGAACTGAACAGTATAATGAGTTTGGGCTTTTGATCCCCTTCCAATTTGTATCTGTCAATGATACTAAGATAGTTTCCTAAATAAAGAAAGTAATTTAAGATACTTAAGACTTCGGATTGAAATCATTGAGTAACTCATTTTTTTTAATCTTATTTATGTTTTATATGTTTGTCTAAGAAGGATGCAATTTATTTCGGATATTTCTCGGAGATTCTGTGCTCTGAATAGAATTGTCATGAAAGGTTTTATAGTTCTCTTGGGAAAATGACTCCTGACTAAAGATAATTTGTAAAGTTGATGAATAGATTATTGAACGAGTAGGATATGATGCAGGTTGGGTTATTGATTGGGTTAAATTGGAATGTGGGATGGACCACTTGAGCAGGACAGACAGATGTCTACTACTGTCTTGTTTAGTGTGATGTCGAGTGGTTTGTGGTAAAACAAGTTCTGGAAATATTATTTGTAAGGGTTATTACCAGCTTTAGGCATGAGGATTTTTCCATGGACAAGGTAATTACTCTTGAAGATATGCTGAAATCAAGTTCCCATTCCCTGCTCTCGCATGAAGTAGTTATCTGCACAGCTACTGGCCGTTAAAGTAACATTTTGTAAATGGATGATAACTGGTAGTATTTGGTGGTTTTGTAGGTTGGAAGATTGATGCTTAATTATTCTAAGCTGCAGCCTACGAGAGGTTATCTGACAAGTGACAAACAATGAATGATTATGTTACATGTGTTTGGTGCTCGTTTGTTTTACCACATAGGTGGAATAGGATGAGAAACAAAAGTGATAATGACCTCCAAAGTCTGCGTGATTTAAGTTATGATATGATCATGGACACACTCGTAAAATGGTAGTTGAACTATTGAAGCTCATAAAGACATAGAGACATTTAACGATGAACATGCCAAAATAAGCTGGTAATACTATAGATGGGCTACTTATGTGGTACACCTGCTGAATTGTTTTGGAGATCCGAAAGCTTTTATACCTTAAAGGTTTTGAAAGGCACAAGGAGTGTAAATTTTTTGACATTCTTCTGTATATGTAATTCTCAAGCAGTGCATTTAGTTGTAACAAAATGCCAGAATTTTCTAGATCATCTCTTTTCCCTTTACAGTTGTAGGATAGGATTATGCCTGTGACGGTGTATGGTTAATGGCTGCTTCAAGGGATCAATCATTTGTGTGCAAAAATATTGGAACACTTTATTGCATTTTTGAGCCAGTTTGCCATATTGGGTTCTTTCCGCTTTAGATAGGATAGGAGGATTCATTATTCTCCTTTCTAATGTACGCTATTGTTCTCTTGAAATGATGTATCATTCTGTTAATATATATTGAATTCTTTTGTCTATTAGAAGTGTTTTAGTTTTTTCCACGAACTGTTTTTCTGCAATTTTTAACTCTTATTTTACTTTGTTGTTAATATTTGTCTCCTAATCTTCTGCAGAAATTCTTATGTGGAGGGAGGTTGGTATTTGGGCCTGACGCTAGGTCCCTGTTTATCACATTACTGCTGATTCTTGTTCCAGTTATAATCTTTTGTGTATGTGTAGCAAGGCATCTTCGGCATGAATTTTCTTCATACAATTCTGGATATGCTATTTTAGCAGTGGCTATTCTCTTTACTATTCATGTAAGTTCAGTTAATTTTTTCCTTAATTATTTGTTTTTTTTATTATCTTTTTGTATACAATAATTTAGTTTTAGCTTGGTCTAGTTTTAGTTCCAAAGTCTAAATTTAATGCAAACTATCACATGCCACAGAAAACATACTTTGTACTATTCAGTACATATTCTGTCCATCTTCCTGCATACCTGTTATGAGCCAATGCTGAGAACTGCAGGAGTGTGGTTTGTTTAACTAAATCACTGACATGAAATCAATTCATCATGCATCCATGTTTTTTTCCCCTAATAATTTTTTAATTTACTGAATTAAAGTTCAAAGCTGTTTTGTTGAATGGTGATAGCATTTCATTGTTAAGATATTGATTTTCATTACTGATCCCATATAGCATGTCACTATATAATCTCACAGCCTATGTTTCTAGGTTCTGGTGGTTCTCTTTCTTACTTCCTCTGGTGATCCGGGCATCGTTCCAAGGAATCCTCATCCACCAGAGGAAGAGTTTCGTTACGATTCTTCAATTTCTGCTGATATTGGGGGAACTGGACGGCAAACACCAAGCCTCCAGTTCCCTCGAACAAAAGAAGTTATAGTCAATGGCCTTGCTGTGAGGGTGAAATATTGTGAGACGTGTATGCTGTATCGTCCTCCTCGTTGTTCACACTGCTCCATTTGCAACAACTGTGTTGAGCGTTTTGATCACCATTGCCCCTGGGTGGGCCAGTGCATTGGTCTGGTATGAAAGTTGGCAGTCATGACATTTTGATTTTATGATGCATTTTTTCTTTTTTATTGATGTGTGCTATTTACTTGTTTTCTTTGTGCTTATGTATTTGTGGGCCTTTTTTCCAATGTGCAGAGGAACTATCGTTACTTCTTTATGTTTGTTTCTTCAGCAACCATTCTGTGCATCTATGTGTTTTCCCTCTCAGCTCTTTATATCAAGGTTCTGATGGATAATTATGACGGCACAGTTTGGAAGGCAATGAAAGAATCTCCTGCATCTGTGATACTAATGGTTTATTGCTTCATTTCACTGTGGTTTGTTGGTGGACTTACTGGTTTTCATTTATACCTTATAGGCACAAATCAGGTCAGTGAAATTGTTTTTGACGTTTCTGGTTTTAACATTCTCATGGATTAGTGTACCTTTAGACTTGTTTGTAACTGTGAATAAAGAAAGTTAAAAGGGATGATGATCTTCATTGTACTAATTCCGGGCTACTTTATCTAAAATCTTCTATTGTTATTTCTGGAGTGTTCTCGTGTACATGAACGTCTTCATCACTTAGGTTAGTGCCTTTTTTTGTTGCAGACTACCTATGAAAACTTCCGGTACAGAGCTGACGGCAGGATCAATGTTTTTAACCGGGGTTGTTTGACTAATTTTGTGGAAGTGTTTTGCACAAAAGTAAAGCCCTCAAGGAACAATTTCAGGGCATTTACTAGAGAGGAGGTGCCAAGGCCACTGGCTCCGATCACTAGGCGGGCTCGTGACCCAGATGATGACTTGGATGGAGATCGCCGTCCTAAGGTTGAAGATGATCTTGACATTGGGGAAGACCTATTGAAAATATCACAGCGCAGGAACATTGAAGAACTTGATGAGGACATTCGTGACAGAGGGAGCAATGGACCACCCCACCATACATCTGAACCTGACTCAATTTTGTCCTCCGATCATCGAGCTCCCACGATTCGATCGGATGCTAGGCACTCGAGTTGGGATAGGAGTGGAAACTGGGAAATTGCCCAAGAGGTTCTTGCCAATTCAAATGTCACAGAAAGCAGAAACTATTTGACTTCAAAGGAAATGCGCCAATGAGGGGTGTGGTTTGTCTCTTTAATATTTTTAATGGCACCAACCAACCATATATGATGTGGGGTTCCTTGGATACTAAAGATGGAAAGGAAATGGTAGCTGCATTGATTGGAACTTTTGGTATGAAAACTTAGCCTACCTTTTTTTGTGGTAATCCTAGTTCTGTGGGAAAGCATATAAATGTGTGTTTGAGAGACAGTGTCCTGTTTACTTCCTTTTTTTTCTTATCCTTCTTTTTCCCCTTATTTTTTAACAGTCCAATACGTGGATCTCATCTTTACTCGGCTTTATTCTTTGTGTAAATAACCAGTTATGATACTGAAAAAGCTTCTCTATATATACTGCATTTTAGGCCCTGTAAAAATGGGTCCTCTTCTGTCGGAAGCGCTTACCTGGCTATCAATGTGATTGTGAGTGTGATTCTTTTTTAGGTCAAATGACATACTCTCTTAGTTTTCCAATAATACTTAGCTTTAGATTAATCTGACTCGGTCAAAAAGTAAGGAAGGCTGGTCAAATATTACAAGTGTGATTAGATAAATAGATCAATCAAATATTTATTTAATAATTTGTTATAAAATGAGAGTGTGCCTTAACTAAAAAGGAAACTTTAAAAGAAATGTTTTTTTTTTGCTAAATTTGAGAAACTTATTTAAACAAGTTATAGAGCATATAAAAAAGTCAACTTTTTTATTTATTTTCTTTTTAGATTAAAACAAAGGTGTTTGGTTTTAGGGCATGAATAAGAATACTTGTGGTTGATGATTAAATGGGTACAAAGTTGCAATTCGAAATATTCTACTTAAGTGAGTTTCTTCTTAAAATAGCAATATATAATCATACGGCAAATAAGTATTGAAAAAAAGAAACAGTTACAAACATGGGTGTTAGAAGTGAAAGAAAAGTTATTTTTTTATTTTACAAAATTAATTTAAATTTTACAAATTTAAATAAATAATTTAGAGTATATTAATAATTTAAAAAAATTTAATTTGAATATAAATATTCTTATTAATATTGAAATATTTAAATTTATGAAATATATTAATTAATGTGTAACATCTCAAAATTAATTTATCTATATTTTTTCAAATATAATGTATTAAATAATATTTTGAGTAATTTAAATAATTTTAAAATAAAAGACTCATTTATATAAATAAATAAATAAAAATAATATATATTATTAAGCTATTATAAAAAAAATATATTTATTAAAATAATAATCATAGTTTAAATTATTTTTTTATTAATTATTAAAATAAAATTAGTTATTTAATTATTATAAAAAATATTATTGAAAGAAAAAAAAACACATTACCTTATTATAATGATTAATATATATAATAAAATAAAATAAAAATACACACCTTATTTCTTTAAGAGATAATGATTAAAATAATAATAATAAAATATAATATTATTTCTTGTATTAAATGCAAATAAAAAATTTAAATTAATCATGATTATAAATAGGAGAAAGGAAAAAAATGGAGGAGAAGAAAGGAAAAGAGAGGAGAGAGGAAAAAAAGAAAGAAAGAATAAAGGAAGAGTAAGGAGAGAAAGAGAAGAAGAAAGAAAAATAATTAAAAAAAAAATTAGTATAATATTTGTTTGTTTTTACTTATGGTTTTGGAATAAGGTGTCTTTAACTTAATTTTATATTCTTTTATATTTTATTTATTTTTAGTTAAGTTCTGTTCTTATATTATATTTATTTATTTTATCTCTAATTATGTACTTGATTTGTTTGTTTATTTTATTTATTTTCGGTTATGCACTTATATTTATTTATCTCGAATTACGCACTTGGTCATATTATATCTCTAGTTATACAATGATTTTGTTTATTTTATCTCTAATCATGTATTAGTCCCTATTTATTAATTTATATTTACATTATTTAATTATTTTTAAATAATAATATGTATTTATAAAGATTTGATGATATTATAGATAGAGATTGGACCTTAGAGATGAAGATGAGTAAATATCATTGAGAGAGTAATTAAAATTGAAGCCAAAGCCTAACATCTTTCCGGTTATTGTCATGGGCCAAAAGTTACCCTTTAGTTGGGTCAAAAGTACCCTTTGCCTGGTCCGGCAGACTTCGTTGGAGGGGGTGTGTTGAAAGTCTCACATCGCCTACCTCATATCATTTGGTATGGTTTAAATACATGTTAGAGCTACTCCACATATTGCCAATTGGTTTTATGTTGGAACCTTAACATGGTATCGAGCCAAAGCCTAACATCTTTCCGGTTATTGTCATGGGCCAAAAGTTGCCCTTTAGTTGGGTCAAAGTACCCTTTGCCTGGTCCGACAGACTTCGTTGGAGGCGTGTGTTGAAAGTCCCACATCGCGTACCTCATATCATTTGGTATGGTTTAAATACATGTTCACATATTGCCAATTTGTTTTATGTTGGAACCTTACGAAGTTGAAAAATATTATATATATATATATATATATATATATATATTATAAGATTGTATTATTTTAAATAATAAATGTTTTTACTTTTTTTGTCAATTTAAATAATGGTTTCTAATATAAAAATAATGTAAACTTGTAAAATTCACATATTTATACATATAAATATATAAACATTTATCTCATGTCTTACTTTTCACAAAACTTGATAAAAAAGTAATAATTTTTTAAAATATAATTAAATTAATAATATGATAACAATATATGAAAAAATATATAAATATATTATAAAATAAATAACTTTGATGACGAGTTACGCTTATTTCAAAAATAAAAATTGAAGATCCACCTAAAAAAAATCAAATACTTAAATAATAACAATAATATTTTTTTCAACTTTCTTTCACGTGATATATATATATATATATATATATATATATATATATATATATATATATATATATATATATATATATATATATATATATATATATATATATAATAAATGATATAATTTTTTATTAAAAATATTTTAAGTAATATAGATAACTGGTTAATGTTAATAATTTGTATTTGTTAATGTTAATTTATACGTAATGTATGTTTAAGAGATATTGATTTAAAAGAATATCCTTAGAATTTGAATATGTAGATTATATATATATATATATATATATATATATATATATATATATTAAACACACAAAATATTAAAAAAATGTTATATTGTAAAAATTATTAAAAAAATATTTTCTTAAATAAAGAAAAAACATATTGATGTCATTTTATTCTTCGGGATTGGTAAGTAAGATATTTAACGTGAAAGGATGAGTGTAGTTTTTTTTTTAAAGTGTCATATGTGATATCCTTTTATATATAATGACTTCTTTATGAGTTAGAAGTAGGAAAATAAATTTTAAATTTAAATAAAAAATTAATAAATAAAGTAAATATCAGATTGAATAAATAAAAAGCAAATGAACTCAATAAAAATTAACAAATTTTTTTTTTAACTTTTAAATAAACAATCTTTAACAGAATATTAATTAAAATAAATAAAAAATTAAATAAATTATTAATTATATAATATATTAAAATTAAAGTTAATTAATTAAATAAAATGAAGTCCACCCTCGATATGTATGATGAATAGTTACGTACTTTCTTCGTTCTTGTTTACAGGAATTAATTACTTAATTTAATAGGATAAATAATATTGATTAATTTGGTTGATAACAAAATTATTCCTCAATTTATATTTTTTAAAATTATCCTTATTATTAATACGTTTATCGCTTAATTAATTATTATAATTTCTTTCCTTTTTAATTAGTAGAATTTTAATGTAAAAATAATTCATAAAAAATATGAATTTACTATTGTTTAAAAAGACCATCACAAGACCACTTAAAATCTTAGTCTTACAAATGGAAACAGAGAGTAATAAAGTCACATTTCAAATGACATACATGAAATTCAAAAAGTTCATTTACAACATTTTATAAAATAAATTAAAATAATCAATATTCTTTATTCCTATATTTTGTTTTTATTTTTCTTATAAATTTATATATATGTTAACACAATGTAAATTATACGGTAGAAAAATCAGATGAGAGTGATGTAACTTAGGTAAATTATTATATCATGAAAAACTTTGTAAAAAATACAATTTTAATTAATTAAACTCTTGGATTATAACTATATACTACTTTGATTTTATGCAAAATTTATAAAAAAATAATATGGTAATAAAATTATATCTATTTGTATATATATTAAAAATATATATTAAATTAAATTTAAAGAATTACTCTTTACATCCTTATTTATAATATTTTTTTAGAAAAAAATGTTATTTTTATATAATATTACTTGTAGTTTAATGCTGTATTCATTTGTTTTAAAATACCTTTGATTAATTGACATGCTTTTACTGAGAAAATATTTTAAAAGAATAACACAAAGTTTTTCTTCTAATTTGACTTGAAAATATAAGTACTTACTATATATAAGTTTTAATTATTCTAGCATAACACCGTTGATTTGTTGACGAATTCGATCATAATTTTTTGGTTCGAATGAACTTTGACCATGATTGTTGACTTGAATTCAAATTTCTAGTTAAAACTAATAAAAAAATAAATGCATTATTTAATGATAAATTGACAATAATAGTTAACTATTTTTAATCTTGAAAATCCAACGTTACACACTATTACTTTCTTATAAATATTTATCATTATCCTAAATCTCACACTAACAAAAAAGAACCATTGATCAAAACTTTCAATATCACAGAATGAATTCTTCAACACTATGTTCCCTAATCCTCTGCCTGATCACCATTTCTCATCATCCTTTGCCTGCAAATGCTAGAGCTCATGGTCATCGTGAGCTAATTGGTAGCAGTGAGAACCTAATTAAGCAAATTTGCAAGGAAACCTTTGAAGAAGAGATAAACTGCATGAGCATTCTGAGAGCAGATCCTCAAATAGTGCATGCAACAAACATTTTTGGATTTTCAAAGGCAATTCTGGAGTTGGCTTTGAAGAAGGGAGAAGAGGGGCAAAACTTTCTGAAGGGATTGGTAAAAACAACAAAATCTGAAGCCATTGCTTCATGTGCAAACAAATGCTATGATGGGGTGGTTGGATCATTTTCTAGTGCTCTTGCTGAGTTGAAAGTAAGTCCTGATACAGCTAGTTATGATGCAAAAGTTGCTGGAGATGGCTCTGTAAACTGCGAAACAGCCTTGGCTAATGCACATATCCTTAACCCTGCCATTTCTTCTCTTAACCATCAAATTTGGTTACTTAGCAAAATTGCATCCCTAGCCACAAATAAAATTACGATGTAAGAGAATTTTTGTGTGAATTTGAATTTAAAAATGCATCATACGAGCATGATGGAACCATTAGGTGTTGTTCGTTTTAAATTTTCTTTTCACATGGAGGAAGATCAAATAAAAAATCAAAATGACATTTCACTGTTTATTAGTACAAAATTAGGCTTTTAAGTTTATTATTTTAGTTTTTTTATGTCAGAAACAAGTCCAACATTAATACGGAAGATGTAAATTTACGTTGAATCTCATGAGTAACCGACGTAAATTTTATCTTTTTTTTTTTTTTTTTTCTCGCAGTTCAGATATCATATTTCAATAGACAATAATTCAAACATACAATATAATACAAAAATAAAAGCTAATACAAAAACTAAATTACGTAAATCTTAAAGTACATAATACAATACAAATTAGAAATATTGAACGAAAAACCTTATTATTTTGTAATATTATATCTTGATAGTGGAGATGGATGAATATTGAAATACTTGAAACATTAGTTTGACTCCAGTTAATATGCAATACATACAAAGGTAAATGAACTTAACAAATATTGAAAGCAATTACCTCTTGTTATACCCGCATAAACTTTTGTGTATTACATGTGCTTAGGAGTATATTTTGGAAAAACTATTAGGACAAAACCCCTTCGAGAATTTGTCCCTTATTCTTCGTCTTTTTCTCTTCGTTTTGATATGATGTGCGTCCGTCCGACATCCGAGTCAAAAGTTATCTTGCTTCGAACATTTTCTGTTTTCTTTTCATCATAAAATCCTAATACACAAAACAACAACAACAACAACAACCTAAACCCCCAATATACAAATTACAAAAAAAAAAAAGTAGGATTCAAATGTATAGAACACTAACTACAACAGTTCAATATCAATAACAATTCAGTTGAAACATTCAATTTCAACATAAAAGAGGAGACGAGACGCATAGAACACTAACCTCAAATATACAAAAAATGTTTTAAAACTCGAATTCAATTGGAAGAAATGTCAACCACCATAAATGGGACCCAATAAAAGTATTTTCGTTACTCACTATGGTCGAAATGTACCTTGAGAAGAGCTAGTCATCATCACTGTCATTGTCATTCTTGTCATCGTTCTAAAAAACATGAGACGTGGAAGTGGTACAAAAATAGATCAAAATACAATTTTTACGTCAGACTCATAAGAAACCGACGTAAAAGAGGTCTTTTACGTCGAACCAATAGGAGTCCAACATAAAAAATGGTCCAGTTTTTAACGTTGGACTCATAAAGAGGTGACGTAAAAGAGGTCTTTTACGTCACCTTTTTATGAGTCCGACGTAAAAGTCCCGCCCCGATTGTTGTGTTATGATGTTGGTAATTGATTTCTAAGATCATTATTGTTGTTAGGGCTTAAATATTTTAATAGTATCAATGTTTCACTTGTGTCAATTATAACTTATAATGGTGATTAGGGGTGTCGAGCAGATCCAAAATATTCTTAATATCGTCTAATATTCGTATTAATACTAATAATATAGTTATAAGAACAACATTAAACGCTTTTGTAACATTTGTCCTATACAGTACAAAAACTATTCATTAAAAATATATTAAATTTGTACACTGACTAAAAGCATTTTTTGAAGAATATATATAAATATATTTGACTATATTCAAAATGTTATAACTTTTCGTTAATTTTGGAAACAACTTTTTAAAATCAAATATTACCAAAATCATTATATTTAAGCCTTATGGATGAAAAAAATATGGTTATAGTTTTACAACAATAATATAATGAAAATATATAAGTTTATGAAGAGGAAAGTCATTAATTTTAAACAATTTAATATTGAACTTAAAATATTAAAAAAAGATGAAGAAATTTTAATGATATTATTTTCTCAATAAATTTTATTCATAGACTAAAATGATAGATGAAAAACAAGAGAATATAAAATGTCTTGAGAGTGAGAATTAAGTTGTTTATAACTAGGGATAATCATTTTAATTAAAATAATATTAGAAATAGGTAAGAGATAATTATTCGTATTGACTGCTATATAAAAAAATAATATATTAATATCGATATTTCTAAGATTTCTTTCTATATTAATAGAATGAAGAATATACCTATCTTTATTATAAACTCAAAAGACATAAATATATATATATATATATATATATATATATATATATAATTATGTCTTTTGAGTTTATAATATAATTATCATTTAATATGCATATGTATTGGGTAGATCTGGATGTTAATAGCACATTAATATTACAAATTAGTTGTATTTTTATGTTTAATTAAAATGAACAATATACGGGCATGGATAGATGCAGTGCAGACATTGTACCAAAAAAAATGGTAAAAATGGATTAAATTAACAAATTAAAATATAAAATATATGCTTTTAGTTACTGGAAGAAATGGAAACAAAGATAGTAAGAAAAATTGACACGTAAAAGTTTATTAAGCATAAATTTATTGAACTAAACACAATTGATTAAACACCTTACGAAAAAAAAAACCCACTAATAAATTAAAAAAATATTTTACGAGAAATAAATAACAATGAAATATGTATCGCGAACCAATTATATATATCCAAACGTAAAATATAAAAGCAGTAAACTTGTATAAGTTTGAATATTTTTTTAAGCAATTAAAAAAAATGACTGTATATTTGAAATATTACATATTTTATACGAATATTTAGATGCAACTTTCTAAAAATTTCTACCAAAAGTTTTTATTTAACCTTAGACTACTTAATTGGAATCAAAATACACTACATACATTGATGAAGAGTTTCTATTAGTTTATTAAAAAACTAAATAATATAAATAAAATGCATTAGTTAAGTCATACTTAACCTTTTATTTGTAAAAGTTGTTTCAAGTGATGCTACAAAACAAGTTGGAATATTACAACACCTGATATTGTTCATACAAACATATTCTTTAATTTTCATTGCTTTGAAGGAGTTTTCAGTATGTACCATTAATGTGAGGTTAATGTAGGGCCTACAAATGTTATTTCTAAACTCACGTTAAACTGAAAGTTATTTTCACACAAATTATATTTATACAAAATTTTACATTAATTGAAAATTATTTGAAATATCATTCGTAGTATAAACTGAACATTTAGTTTAATTAATTTAACTGCAGTATTAATTTTCGGCTACCGGCAGTGGCCCACGTAAGTGACAAACATTTTGAACGTAATCTTTTTGTGTGGTGACGTCCAGTTTGTTAGTGGGTGAAGTTAACTAAACCTGTAGATCTACATTCAAAGTTTAATATAAAGTCAAGTATTATTTATGGGAAGAATTTGTTACATGACTTTTTTTAAACTTAATTAAGTATGGTAACGAATGGTTGTATATTCCTTAAAACATGTATAGTTAGCCAAAATTAGGAATTAAGATACTATAAAATACCTCAATATCATGAACAATAAACTCATTCCCTCACACCAAACCCTCTATCGCACAGAAAAATAAAACGCCACGCTTCACAACAAGATGAACACCTCAACACTATGTTCAGTTGTTGTGACCCTCTGTGTGGTTCTGATTTCCTCTTCTCCTATGACAGTAAATGCCAAAGGAGGACTGGCTGCAAAACTGTGCATGGATACCTTGGAAGACAAGGACGGCTGCATGGAACTGCTAAAGCAAGCTGACCCTAAGATCGTGACGGCAAAAAGCTACGAGGAGTTGGCTAGAGCTGTCCTAGGATGGGCTGTGACCAAGGGAACAGAGGGTCAGATATTCCTTAAGGGGTTGGCCCTCGTAGACAATAATCCAGCCATAGTGCGATGTGCGGGTTTCCACTACGATGGGGTTGTTGCTTCCTTCAAGAGTGCCATGGAAGAGTTGAAAGATGATCCTCAAACCGCCAGCTATGATGCCAAAGTTGCTAGTGATGGCCCTGCAGCATGTGAAAGAGGCTTGGTTGCAGCAAAGATTAATAATCCTGCTATTATTGCTCTCAACCGTCAAATAGTCTTACTTAGCACCTTGGCCTTCCAAGCCATATGTGAATATAGTCCTTAAGTCTGTTCACCACTTCATTTTGTAACGCCAATGTTGTATGCATGCTCATGCTTAACCCTAGGTGTGGGGTGTTGCTCTTTTTTAGGGTCTCTTTTTGTGTGAAAGGGAATTGTTAATAAAATCAAACTTTTAGTGTTGTATTCGATGTTTACCTTTTTTTCCTTTTCTTTGTCTTTATTTTATTTTTACACATATAGGTAAACAAATTTAAAATGGAAAGTATCGTAATTAAGAAAAAAATCTTTAAAAGGATTGAAAATCATATTTTTATCAGAAATTAACACGTGATTTGATCCATTAATTAGCAAAGAAAATAAAAGAAAAATACGTCCTACTAAAGTCAATAAAAAAACAACTTATTTTATCAAATAAAGACTTTATATTTCATCGAATATAAAGATAACAATCATTATTCTTATTAACTTATTATTATTATCTGTTGAGATTTATTTTATTTTATTTTTATCTGAAAAGCGATGCAACAGCATATGTTGATTATACTTTAAAATTAAATGGATATTTGATTATTTTGTACCAAACTGTGTTATTTTATAATACATTTTTATTACTTAACAAATATTAATCGAATTTTTTATAACACTTGTCATTAATCATAAAAAAATAATAATTAACATTTTAATATATTTTTTATTTTAATTAGAAAATTTGAAATTAAAAAAACAAATAAATTTCACTTTATTTAACAAAATTTCTTCATGGTTATATAGTAATTAATAAATTTTAATAAAGAGCATATTAATAAGAGTTTTCTCCTACATTAATCCAAATTCCATTGAGCTTTGATTCTTATATCAATCATGGATCTTCTCCCTTTTCATTTTCTTAATATGAAACTACACTATTATCTATCTGTCAAATAGTAATTAATCTTTTCAACATGACCTAATATTGATTGTTAAACGATGCATGAAAATGCATCCATTGTAAAAAAATAAATATATGAAAGGTGGAAACAAATCTATTCACTTATGAGTTTCGCAAGAGTAAAGAGAACATCACAATTACCTATATGATTAGCACATGATAAAGTTTCATACTGGGTAAAAATAGAAGAATTGGGTATAATATAATAAAAAATATTCATAAACTTAATATTTTAAAATTTTAGTTAAAAATATATCATATTTTCTTATATAATTAAATTGTATTTTTATTAGTGAATATTCTCTTTCAAATATTTCATAACGACACTAAAATATATTACATCATATTATTAAAAAAAATGAACAAAGTTAAATGAAAAGATACAAATGCAACAAAAATCTCTATTAATTAATTACAAATAATTAGTTCATCTTTTATTTTTACTCTTATTATGGTTGGAGTAAAGAACTATCTCATAAGTTTTAAGTAATGTATTATACATTTTAGTATTCTATAATACCATATTTGAAGATTACTGAACTATCTACCAAAATTCTCATGGCAAATGTTACGTTGGAAAACCTTTTTTTATCTTAATTTTATTAAGGTTATCATAGGAGTATTCTTTAAGATTAAATTTATCTCATTTAGTTATTTGAATATTTCATGTTTACTATCCCACGGTCGAATCCATGTGTAAGAGCTTATCAATATAATTCTCATTGTACAATCTTCAAATGTTTTGTTGAATCCATAATATCAATATAATTCTCTTTCGACAATCTTAAAATGCCTTGTTGAATTCATAGAAGACCTTATTCATATAATTCTCTTTCAACAATCTTAAAATACCTTGAAAACAATAGTATTTTGATACCAAACATAAAAGAGGCTTTCCAAATATATCTTTCATTTCAATCTTTTTTTCATAAATCTCTAATAACAATAAGTCTCATTGAAAAATATATGAATTTCTATAGTTTACATATCATAGATTCCAAGCCACTTAACACAAATTTCTATTTAGACCACATAAATCACTTATCAATGCATCATCATCCCTATATTTATCTAATGCATCTCAATTTCAAAATAAACTACTTATGTCTTTCTTATAATATTGGAAAATGATAAATAATAATTTAAAATTATATTTCTTCTGTTCTAATTAATTTTATTAGAAAGGAAAACTCCTCTAATTTCAATCCTATAAAATCAATTTAGAATGTGAGATTTATACTATAGATTGATCTTATCTCTAGTTGATGTTAGATTTCAATATAATATCATGTTGAGAGAAAATTTCATCAAAATTGTTTAAAGATACTTTATGTGAATGTTCAGGCTTTCTTATAGGTTTTTTTTATAGGTTTTTGAAGGAGAACAATAATTCAAATATAATTTTTATTATTGTAGTTGCATCTTCATAAAAAAAAGATGATATATTGAAATCAAAGTCAATATTTCTTATTGAAAAAAATCTTGAAATGAGTTTTTAAAACTCATAAATTAAAAGTGTTCAACATAAGCAAAAATTCTTTTTCAAGAAGCTGATGGACAAATATGATTTGAATTATTTATTAAATTACGATCTAAAAATTTATGTCTGAGCCAATTAAATTATCATTTAATTTTTATTAAAGGAACTAATACCATTCGAATTTAATAGAAATAAACGTTATTATTTTTAATGAATATAAAATCTAAATTTATCTCCAAACTAGGAAAAAAAAGAAAACAAGTTACCCACCAAGTATTCTCAAATGCAAAAGTCAAATCAACTTTAACCCAAATAAAGGAACAAATTTAACTTTCCTTACATCACATATTTGGACACTTCTTCATGTGCCCCGACTACTTGCAAAAGAAATAGGGAAATTTCTTAACCTTATACTTAAAAAAAAAAAAAACTCTTTCATAACACCACTATTTTATTTTATTTTCTTATCCTGAGATGTCAAAGTCAAGTTGATATACTTTTATTTTTATCTCTTTATATTATCTTTCTCTTGACGATCGCAACATTAGTTGTGACGTATGTTTTTTACTGTGCAAGAAAACTTCATAACGAAGTTTTCCTCATTCACAGTAAAATTTTTTCTTTTATATGTTTGAAGGGGGATGAATAGTTTCTGCGGAAAATTCTTCCTCCCATATCACATGTTCCTCATTCTTCTTCTTCTATTGTCTAAATTTCAAGCAACGAGACTCTACTCGTGCAGGATCTGGTGAAACAGGAGAGAACTTGAATTAAGTGGAAAAACTTCGGTAGAAATACCATACCAGGTAAGGGGAAGTTTAATTCATTCAATATATGAAATTGAATTGCTGGGTACTCTGTGAATAAGGAATAGGAGTAAAGATATGAATTATTTGAATGTCTGATTTTAAAGAATTTCTGATTTTGATGAACGGTTCACCGTTTGAAAGTTTTTGAAATTCTTGAAATTAAGGATGAATTATATAATAAAATTGTTGTTTTTAACTTAAATTGAACATGTTTATGGTTTAATTTTGATTTGGAACTAATTTGGGTGATTGAAACTGAGAAATTTGAAACCTGGATTTTGAAAATGGCGTACTGGAGGTGATTACTATTCATATTTTGCAAAGTTTTAAATATTGATTAAATTCTTGAAATTAAGGATGAATTATATGGTAAAATTGCTGTTTTCAACTTAAATTAGATATAATTAATGTTTAATTTCGATTTGGGATTAGTTTGGTTGTCTAAAACTGAGTAATTTGAAATCTGCCAAAATCTGCAAAATTCGATATCATATCTGGGCGAAGGAAGAAGAAAGGGATATGGTGGGGATTTTTTAAAAGATCAAGGGTAAAATAGTCATTTTACATCCTAGGGACATAAATGTAATTTTAGAAAATGTTCAAGGGAAAAATAATCATTTTACATCCTAGGGACATAAATGGAATTTTTGAAATTGTTCAAGGGTAAAATAGTCATTTTTGGACATGGAAGGAATTTTTGAAAATGTCCAAGGGCAAAATAGTCATTTTTGGGACATGGAAGGAATTTTCAAAAATGTCCAAGGGTAAAATAGTCATTTAGGGACATACATGGAATTTTAAGAAATGATTAAGGGCAAAATAGTAATTTAATGATTTCGAAAATAGTTTCGGAAATGATTTCGGAAATAATTTTAGAAAAAAAAAAATATATATATATATATATATATATATATATATATATATATATATATATATATATATATATATAAAGAGGAGAGAGAGAGAGAGAATGAAAGTAGTGTGTTGTGACGTGTGTGGGTCGGACCGAGCTTGAGGGCTGATGCCCAGAATCAGTCCTGAGACGTTATATATTGGCTAGACTGAGCCAGAGGGTTGATGCCAGAATTAGTCAAATACTATTTTTATTGACCCGAATGAGCCGTGAGGACAGGTGGTCCAGAATTCGACAAATGTGAATAATTTTTGTTATGTTTGAATGGTACCCGGGGTGGTACAGAGTACATTAGTGTAATAACTATGTCGGAGGATTCTGAATGAGGTCCCAGACTTCACTGATTGGTCGGGTCAGGTAGACTACGCGATCAGGTGGTGAGAAGTCGATGGGGGGATGACTGGTGGCACGCTTGGAGGGGTACTCCAGTATGAGTGATGAAGGGCGCCAGTAATCCTACTCTGTGTGGAGGGTGGTCAGAATGGTACTGCGGGTACCGATCACAATATGCCCACAGATGATAGCCTTTGAGTTCGGGCATAGTTAGGGTATACTTCCGGAAGATGTCTTAGTGTGTTGATAATTTCGTAATTGATCATAATATATAATTATTACTTCTATATCTGTTTTATTATATCGAATGATTTAATACTTACCCCTATTTTTCCATGTGGATGGGACTGCGATGATCACTTTTATGTGGGAGCAGATCAGGAGTTGAGAGATGGAGATGTGACTACTGGGCAACAAGGATAGTTTAGTGGGATAGCTTCGAGGGAGCTACTTTTACATGTATAATATATAAATAAATAATGTTATTATATTTTGAGGTTCCGTTAGTGAACCGAAATTTCAATCTATGTTACCATTGCAGTAATATAATGTAAAATAGATGTCGTTATTTACTTGTTTA